GCTTCGTGCTTCAAATCGGACCCACTTCGCTTACACACAACGCAGCCAATCAGACCTCTGCTAGTCCGCCACGCCGATGCTTCCAACCTCGCACACATCTCGCATACGCACGGCTGCAACGTCGTTGGTGAAGACGCCAGACCCAGGGGTGCTAAACTCGTGGAGGACAAATCGAGGATTTCCAGCCCCTCGTCCGCGTCTCTCAACCTCTCCGATCTAGACGATGACCCACCAGCCATCGGCAGATCGCGCCTTGCCACAGCTTGCACCGACAACTCGCATTCACGAAGTGCCATCTCACCAAGACTGGGTTCGCCAGACTACTTCCAAACACCCAACTTCACCGCAGTCACAGCTGGCAGCCGTTCAAAATCCCATATTCCCGAACCGACCACGGATCTAACGAAATATCGCCTGAATTACCCCAGTCTGCTGGCCACGGTTCGTCGGTTGGTGAGTGGAAAAGCGGCACCCAATGCCACCCAAACACTGGGACCGTTCGCCGAAGAAATTTTGCGGCAGCGCGTTGACACAAGCCCACCAAACACATGGCCCATGTTCGATGTCGTGGACAATGGCATCACGCAGATAAGACGTCAGTGGAAGTGTCGTTATTACGCCCTTCTAGATGCTGTCGATCTCCTCTACAAGGACTACCAGTTGCTGTACCGAGTGAGTGAAAATCAACGCCGTGTATTGACATCATCGATGGTGGATCGTCTCCTAGCGAGCCACATATCGAAAAATAATCTAGAAGCTGTCGTTTTCTGAGCGACATTACGAAACTATTCGATATTTTTGAACTGTCTTGCTTAATCTCATGTGCCTACTCGCTTCAGCAAAATCGTTGGAAATCGCAAACACCCGGCATCGTGATCAATTTGCTTGCCACGTAAAAATAGCGTCTGCCTAACCTATTTTGGGTGTTGCAAATGACCCAGCATGACAAAAATTTTGGCACATTTACAGTGTCAACTCTATGGAAGCTTACTGGAAATTGTTGTGAAAAGCCATCATGCTACAAAACAGTATACCCAATAGTCGTACCTCCTGGTTGTAGAGTTCATTTTTTACAAGGTAGGCGAGGCATTTTTTAAGGAGAATGGAGTAGCCGTCAGTATCGACGTGATCCTTCAAACTGCTCCCAAAGTAGCTCTTTGATTGGGTATCTGGAATGAAAATAACACGGATTAAAACGAGCACAAATTACGCCAAGGCAAGAGGGCGTTGAGTGCGCGATGCACGCGGATGAACTTAAACAGAAGTGTGCCAAGTTAACACAAGAACCTGCTGATTTCTTCAGGTTGTGGTTGTTGCGTGGTGCTCACAATTGAGTCGACTAGTGAGCACAAACGCCGACTCCTCAAAGCCAAGGCGTGGCACATTGGTGGGTCGACCGCAAATCGGAGCTACTGGCAGCAGCACCAGCTTCAAAACGGTGACACGCCCGCCCACACACCTTTTAAACACGCACAAACACACACACACAAGCCACGTCGTCGACGTCGGGGGAGTGCAATTTGAACGTTGGACTTGACAGGAAGTGGGTCGCCGATTAACCCACAAACGAATCCATCGCCGGTGGAGGGTGTGTCATCTAGTCGACCATCGTCCAATGAGAACAGGGGCACCGCAATCTTGGTTTTTGGGTGACTACGTCCACATCAACCACGAAGGAGAGGTAGCTGGACAGTGTCATTCGATTCTAATCTTCCTTAGCAAACCACAGGGATTTTTGGAACCGTTGTATCTGTAACTTTGCACTTTATCTAGCACACCGCTGGAAGTTGATTTCTTACCTGGATATCCCAGGTACGCAATAATCGAAGATGTGAAAACCCATTAGGCATTTCATTAAATGAGGGGACGAAACAGAGTTAAGACTAACACAATCTAACAGCTAGATTAATCCAATTTCCGTTTAATAGCGCCAACCTAAGGCGACTTATGCAGGAGCAACGTGGTAGCAATTCTTGTTTAAATAAACTGCCTGTTTAGATACTGTTTTTACACAATCACGCCGCGTCGATGTTTAATAACACTTGGCCAGATGACAACGCATTACCAAGAAATCCAAGCAAACACTACAAAAGAGCACATATCAACAGCAACGCACCGTGGTCTGTGGACTTATCACTGCGCGGACTGGTCTCTTCTAGACGGGCATCAGCACTTTCGTAGCAGGACTTCAGGAATTCGCGCTGGTGAACTAAGAAATCCATGAGAGTCTTTTCGTAGTCTTTGTATTCCATCCTATATTTGAAAAGCTCGAGACACAGCATCTCCTGGAACGAAGGAACATTGGCGTTTACGCAAACTTGGTCACATAATACGCCGCAAGCGGAGGTTGCCGGTGCTATGTTGGTAATAACTCGAAGATGACACCGAAAAAGCCAATGAAATGAGGTGCTTTACATGCCTGGCGATCTCCCTTACCAAAATGTACACGAACCGTCAACTAGGACGAACAGAGGGTCAACTTAAGGCCTGTTCAAGCTAAAAGGCTAGGTATCTTAGCAACACAGATAAACACATCGACGAACATTCTCTGGTGACAGCAGATGGTTAGTTTGGGGGACTTGATAGCGTCTTTCCAAAAATTGTAGCTATGTAGAGGTGTTCGCGGTGTTTAAAGGTTAAAGGTCAACTGTCTCCCACCATATCAACAACGTAATACAAATATCTGCGTGTCAGAATGATTTACACCGTATTTGTTCACAGCTTGAAAGAGAGCATCTGTGAAGGATAAACTATTAAATTCCTCGTATAATATTAGTGAATGCGTGCACTTGGCCTGATGGGATAGCTAGAATTTATGACAATGTGAAAGGTATTGCCACAACCGCAATGCACTTTGCTTTTTATCAATTTTAATTGAACGAATTGTGAAAGAAAAGCCCTTAACGCCTTAGGAGCCAGTTGGTGATGGTAAAGAAGCAATCCGGCAAATCTAGTGGCGTCGCATCGTCGCCTACTAAACACACTCTCCGGTCAAGTTGTTGATTGAAAACGCGAGCATATTTGTGGGGGAGGGGTGCAAACGAACCGACTGCATAGAACGCCAGACACTGAGTTAAAAGAATGTTCACGTTGATAGCGTGTCAGAGTTGCACAGATTACGATTTCTCAAGGTAACTTAGCGACAAACGACTCGCGAGACAACGGTAACGTGGGATTAAGGGGTGTGTTGCACTTGATCAAAAGCGCTCCCGTATTGACCTTAAATTGGGTGATTGAGAGTAGGTTAATTGCTTGTGCTCGACTTGGTGGAAATCAAGGTTTATAGATAAAAAAAAACATTTTCCGCACAAAAATTGAGTTACCTTTTGATAACGGTAAGTGGACTCTGTGCCATCGACTGCATGCCGCAGTGCGTCACTGTCTTTTGATTGGCTGGAGAGCAGCTTGTCTTTCATCTTATTATATTCAGAAAATGACTTTTGTAAGTCACCTTTCATTTTCACTAGCTCACTGCAACGTTCCAGCCACCTTTTGAGAACTGGCCCGAAGGTCGAATTTGTGTATGAACAAAATTTCTGATGATATTTTGCCAAGTCATTGTGCGTAGTTTGTAAAGTCAACAGAGCACCATTGAAGAAGGATCTCCTTGGAACAAAGAAAACTCCTTTAAGTGTTAAATTAGCACCAGTGAAATTACAAAAATCTTCATAAATAAAGCGAAAAAGATACAGTAAAATAGAGCAAGCATTTTGAGATTGACGTAGCTCACTCCTTATAGGACACTATATATAAATAACAGCATGGTTTATATACAACTTAAAAAACCTACTTGGACTCGACCGACTGCAAACGTTGCAAAACGACCTAAAAAAATTCCAGTCAGAATTTTCACATAGAAAAAATATTCCCAGAGCAACAAGATTAATAGACTTACGTTGCCTGAAATCTCAAAAGATTTGCGATTTTTGTTTAAAAAGTTTTGTACATCCTCGAGGCTGTTCATAATTTCATGAAGTTCAGGCGGTATTTCTTGTTCCAATTCAGGAAAGGCCCTTTAAGAAAGCGAATCTTTTACACCTTTACGTAGACGAAACAAGACGTAACTGGAAAATTTGATTAGCTAATTACAAAATACACAATATGCACGAGCAAGCTTTGCGTAATAGAAAGCATCAGAGATACGACTTTAAGGGACTACACACGAAAAGTAACTCCAAAGTAGACAAAAGCACTATTTCAACGACCACACTTAAACTTGGTTGGAAGCTATTCCAGGAGATTTCTATGCTGCATTAGTATGTGTGAAGGTGTACCCAAAAGACAGTAATGCTTAAGCTGGTTTTCGAGTGATCTTGGGCAAAAAAAACATCAGTTTAATTATAAAAAAGCAGTTTTTAAGGAAAAAAACAGCAGACCTCAAGTAGTAGGTGGCTACTCGCTAAAAGGTATAATATTTACCTACATCAGTTGGACATGAAAACTTTTTCTGTACAGAAGGGATATCAAATCATGCCGAGTTAAAAAGTTCATAAGGGTTAAAACGAACCTAGTATGTCGCGACCTAACTCCTTTAAACCATTCCATGCCTTTGGGTGACAAGACGCAACGTTAATCCACAGAAGAGGCCCACCCAATTACGACCAGGCGACCTTGAAAGAACTGGTGATAAATCTTTCTACCATTGGTGTTTAGTGGAAATTATTAATTAATTAATATTTATACTAAAGACCGGATTTTTTAACATACAAAATCACAATTAATGCCTAGTAGCAAGACTCATAAGTAAATTTTAACACATCCGTTTATTTAGTCAAAAATGCAGACAGAAGAATGAAGGAAGTGGGTAATCAAGACATGCTTCGATGTATAAGTGACTTCGTCTATTAATAAAAACCCTAATATCCACATAACGAATAGTGGAAACCATATTTTGATGAAGAAAAAAGTTCTTTTTGAGCTACTTTAGATGAGCAATTGAATTTCTTTATTTGCCAAAACATTGGAAAATTAGAGGCCGCTTTGATGTAAAACTTATCTTAAGTGAAACAGATTAAAATGAGTATAATAAAAACCACTTATTTGATGGAGCAACTATGACTATATCTACCATATGGATTCTATTTTTTTCTGGATTTCTCAGTAACCTATACGCCTAACTAAAATTAAATTTTGCAGTTGGACACACCTTTTGTTGAGTACTTCTAGAAATGGTAGTGGTTTCCGTACATTTAAATTTCTTACAGCTCATCAATGCAGGTATCTGACTAATATCGATTCTAAGTGAAAACCTTAATAAGCACAAATAAAGTCATGTTTATCGTGACAATGATATCTGATCTAAAGTCAACTTTAACCCATTTTGAATGAAATCGTAAATATTTTCATAGACGTTCATATGCTAAGAATAAGCTAACAGAACTGAAGAAGATTGAATGATAATTACCACGCAAAAAATGCAACTATTATGGAATCATTTAGGAAATAGTTACTTTACATGATTAAAAACTAATGTTTGGTGGCGCACAGTGTGCGACGTTAATTAAATTTCAATGCACTCTGAATCGCGTTATATTTCACTCTTGATAATTTTTACATGAAGTCGATATGAGTTACAGACGAGTTTTTTTGGAAACACAGTACAGACATCTTGCAGCTTGTGCAAATTGTGCGAAAGGGCCGTGTTTTACACATAAATTTCACTCTAAGTGCTCAGGACACAGCAAGATCTAATTTTGTAGAGTTCAGTGTAATTAATGAGTGCTAGATACAAACATAGTATTAAAATATTAGAATTTTTGAATGCAAGCGTAGAAATTATACGACCAGAATAAATTATCAAAGATTATTAGAAAAATTTGAGTAATATGACATTATTTCATTGTGCCCTCGAACTGATAATGGAAACAAAGCTAACTATATTCAAGAACCTCATGTAGTCCGCTTTTACAAGAATTTCTCATTGTGTTCTAAAATGCTTTCTATTAATATGTAATTCAAAGCCAAAACGACATTGTTAGTCTCCTGCCCACTAGATATTCAAGTAAGTGCCTTCAATAAAATTGAATTGGTTATCAATTTAACCCCTGTTCCGAGAAGACTAAACGTCGACTTTGATTGATGTCTGCGTGCTCTAAAATTGTTTAAATTATTTAGCCTGACTATCTGCATGCTCCCATTCTAAGCGGCAATTTACTTCTGCATTTGGTTAATTTTAACCCATCGAAGGGTAGTTGACTAAGTTAATGCCACATCTTTTACTTCTGTTAAATAATAGAAAAATAATTCCTTAAACAGGCTAAAACCAAGTTAGTATTATGGAGAAATTAAGGAAAAATTGAGTTGGTAAATATATGGGTGATCCATTAATATTCCACAGTATATTTAAAGCATAAAATTATTTGGAAAATGCTTCAGGCAAATATTTTAACCTGAAATAAGTTTGCTCAACAATGGATATAACCAGCTGGAGGAAATAGCTACATCTATAAGCCGGAAATTTATGATAAATGACTATAATGAAACTAAGGTAAAATAAGGTAGTAATTTAATGGGTCCAGCCTGTATTAGGCGAAGATGCATACTAATACTTCTGAATAGTCCTGTGTAAACAATTGTGGGCGTCACCAATGTTGCCGTCACTTACATTATGGACAATTACATGAGTAAATTCAATGACAAGTTAAACCTCCGATGCTATTATATTGGTTTTAATTGTTTCCGTGTCATTGCTCTTATTTGTTTGTAATTTTTAGCTTCATTTTTTCGATGTTTGTTTCCAGCCAGCTTTATTAATTTTTTTTAAAAGGAGCCTAATTTTTACAAAACGTAAATCTGGCGAAAAACACGTTCTTAACTCCTGAAATTTTGTCTAGTTTATTATTTATCAAGGACAGCAAGTTTTTCGATTTATTTCTCATGGAATATGTATTTAATACAGTGTTGCAGTTGGTGTTCCCTTACTTTTTAAGTTAACATGCATTTTCTGCAAAATACTCCTTTCGTTCCTACCTTTCGTCGCATAGCTTGTCGTTGTGTTGTAATTTCATTCTAGTGGATTGGATTAGAAGGCGGTGAAATCGAAATAAACGTAAAACGTCTCCGGTGGCCACTTATGTCTGCTTCTGATAGGAAAGCAGAATTAGCTCGGAAGAAAGCTAGACTTGCTGCCCTAAGAGACGAACGGCTTAAGAAAGAAGAGCTGCAACATAATTTTGCTCCTCAAACTGCTGGCGTTTTTGATTCTAATTCGATTAGCGAATCTGTTAGTATCGACGGGATCCTCAAGGAACTTGGGGTTGCAGATAATGTAGCAACTAATGGAAAAATCGATGACGAAGAGCGTTTGAGGTCAGCTAGCGCTACCACATTCCCACCAAAGTATCTACTGCAAATTATATATTTATTAGTAGTTTACTTGGTGTTGAAAAGCCACCTCCGAAACTTGGAGTTTCCAAAGTTGCTCAGTGCTGTGTTAACCCAAGAGAGCTTATAACATATTCAAAGCAAGTTCAAACAGAACAGGATGTTTTGTTAGAGGTGCAGTGTAAGCAAATTTATTCGAGTCACTCGGGGTTCTATTTAGCACCGACCATTGATAGGTGGGACGATGATGCGTCACGTTCTCATCTTGGGTTGCAAAGTTTTGATTGGGATGATGAAATTGGAGGTAAGATAGTGTTGGTTTTTTCCCGTTACCCATTTATTATCTCCATTGATTCGTGATTCCTTTAGCGGTAGGCCTCGATTGACGGAAGCATTTGTTTGCGGTTAATGGTGTCCATTTATAGTGTATGTACGATAACTTCCATACTGGTTTTTTGTACTACACATCATTCTAGAGATTTTTTTGGATTGTTTTTAGTTAACCTATGCTGCAATTCTACCTCACCTGACTGCTTATACTTGTGCATTATTTTTTGACTACTGCGGATATCGCTCGTTTGTATGTCGGTAACATTAATTGATATTCCTCGTAAAGGCCCTTGATATTTAAGCAATCTGAGTTGTTGCATTCTTCGCAACGTCACATTTCCCGCCATTACAGCCATCCCCTACGATGATCAGGAGTCAGTTCTGCCAGATGTGACGCAGCTTATCAAAAACCTCGAATTGAATAAATCTGTTCGGTTTTTGCATTCTGAGACCCCGAGCAAACAAATTCCGCGTAAGTTTAAATTCTAACTTTTTTATCCCAAATTCATCTGACATTGTCAGACCCTATTCATGGTTTTTCTCATGTACTATCCGGTAAATTTAATTTGGTTAATCTACTGTACAGATTTTTTCACATTATTGGTCCTTACCAGCTGCTGCAGCATTATTGCCGCGCCTTTTTGATGGTTAGCTTTCTTGCAATCATGATCAATTTTTATCATACGCGTTTTAGTGATACTTAATAACCGTCTTTTTTGGTCTATCCTAATTGGTGTCTCCTGGTCTACAAAGCCTGAGTAACTTCTTTTAAATATTTTACTCCTGATTTGAAGTAAATATCTCCGTTGCACTACAAAGTTTCCTTTTGTGATCTTATAGTTCCAGAGATTTGTAAATCACTCATTTTGTAGTCACCCAACTTCTGAGCAGGTAGCTATGTGTGATTATGCCGATATTTTTCAATGTTCTGAGTGTGTGTTTTGGCATATCCTTCATCTTACCTTATCCGAGAAATCTGGACAGTAGATTTTGCTCCATTCGGTCCACGTTTTCACATTGCAGCTTTGTTCCGGTGATTTTTTGCACCATTTGCTTTCTTACAATTGCTCGCAAACTTTTGTATGAGGTGTATTCACGTTTTGGTTGAATTCTCACGAGCATTGCTCTCAGCTAAATCGCATCGCATACGTGCACATTGGTTAATGCACCTGGGTTTTTGGATCGTGTGTGCGGTAGGAAAACGATGTGTGTATTGTGCAAAAGAAGCGTTTCATTCGTCATTGGTTTTCGGTCGCTTTTGGCCATAAGCAAAACACGCACAGTATTTTTTGAAGCTGTTGGTTTAGTGTCGGTCGTAAAATATCTTAAAACAAATAAGAAGAAGACGTGGAAGATTTGTGGTGTCAGTTACTTAACAAGATGTTTCCCACTCAACGTTGAGGTTGATGTTGACTAAATCAAAGTCATAATTCAGTCGGATCATCGTATATCTACACAGCCAATTGCATAGCGGTTAGATGCACCATACACAACAATTGAAGACCGTTAAACAGCTCAATAGTCGCGTTCTGTAGCTACTAGTCACTGATCAACAGTTCTTTTCAACATGCGTCTCAACCACAAGGTATTCGACTCAATTTAAACAGATCATTGCTATTTATAAAGTAGCACAAAACATCGGAAATGAAATTTCCGACCGGTAAAACTTTCACTCAGGAAAAATAGTACTATTTTCGGTTTTGTTGACAAAACCTTGAAGTTTTTTGACCAGAAGTTGCCTGAAAAACAGCAAAAGTCACCGAACAATTTAAAGTGGCTTGAAGTCTACGTTTGTGGGCTAGCGCTGCAGCAACTAAACCGGGGCGGTTTGGGGCAAATTTTAGCGCGAGAACTGTCGGAGGAGGAAAAGCAGGTGGCGATGGAGTCGGAGGAGTTCCAAGACTTCTTCCTGCGTACCTCGCGCATCATCGAACGCGCTCTTGATGATACTAATGACATCTTCTTCGACTACAGTGGCGCGGACCGCGAAGACACGTGAGTACTTTGCACGACGCTCCAAAATGTCTTATACTGGTGCTTTGTGTGATGACCTAACTTGCTTTCATCTCGTAGGCAAGGAAAGGACGAATTGGTGAAGTATATTGGGGACTTTTACGATAATTCCTTCGTCTGCGACGCTTCCGTCGTTGCTCTCGACTGGTCCGCTGTGCACCCAGAACTCCTGTTAGTCGCCTATCAGTCCAGAGAAGGCGGCGGCGTCATCGACAATGGTGCTGGTGATGGCCTCGTGAGCGAAGGGGGTTCCTGCCTTGTGTGGAACCTCAAGTATCGCCAGACAGCGCCAGAACACATCTTCACCTACCAGGTCGACATCACCGCCGCTATTCTCACCGAGTTTCACCCCAATTTGGTCATTGGTGGAACGCGTGGAGGACAGATTGTCATATGGGACAGCAGGTGCCCTAGCCTTCATTGTCTACATCATTCTCCTATAGCATTTTTTAGCTACTCGGTTTATTCCTAAAGACGGTCGCCTTGTCTGCTCTGGAATGTGTGACTTTCACTTTGCCTAGAGCGAATCGTCGAACACCCTCACAGAAGACCCGTCTCGCCGGAGGATCAGCCCACGTGGAGGCAATCTGCGGCCTCGCGGTGACGGGCAGCAGGAACGCCAACAGCCTGGTCAGCGTCTCCTCCGACGGTCGGCTCTGCTCCTGGTCCTTCGACATGCTGGGGTCGCCCCAACAGTCCCTGGAATTGGCCTCGGCCTCGAAGCGCACCGCCAACCCCATCACCCCCACGTGCCTCGCCTTTCTGCCCGGCGAAGCCAATCGGTTCCTGGTCGGCGCGCAGGACGGCAATGTGTACGCGGGCTCGCGTCACGACAAGTAAGTTTCACGTCTTCCCTGGTGGCTCACCAGTGCATAACGCGCGACATCTTACGCAAAATATCCGTTGTAGCCTAGGCGACCGAGTGGTGAGTACTGGGTGTTAGTTTTACCTAATATTCATATGCTTCCCCAACACACTAAGCCTCCTATCGTCTTAATGCTCTTCTGTGTGCAATAACATCTGCCCAAACCTGTTCGACAGCCCCGAGGGGATTGAGGTGCGTGGGATTTCACAAATTGCACCTTTTTTTCTAACAGGCCTAATACAGTGCTTTAAATAACCCACTAAAACTAATCCATTATGCGTGACCTCTCAAAAGGTATGAACAGTGCACTGTCAGTTACTCTGACTGGAACGGAGGTCACACTGAATCTTTCATAACGCCATCGTTCGAACCGTCTATGTTGCGAATTCGTTCCACATAGGGACGTTACCTAGTTAAACTCAGTTGTCTGTTTATGTCAAATTCGCCATGGGACCATAAGGTTTCTCCGGCATCGTAGGAAGGAAATCTTCTAACGGAATGACATTCGGTCAATTTAGAAGTATTGGCGATGAATTCAAAATCCATATTCATTAGCTGGATGTCTGACCTGCTGCGCATTAGCCGCCTTTGTTCGCCTTCGGTATCAGTCATTTCTTGCCCTTTTTTAACTTTTAAACAGACGAAACACGCGGTGCTGATTTCCATCTCCTTTATCTCCGTCCTCTCTGCATTTTTCTTAATTTCACAATCGAGCTAACACGAATGTTTTTTGCCGAAGGGAGGGATAATAATGTCTCCTTCATGACTGTAGGACTGCAGGCATAAGCGATCAATTTGAGAGCCACAAGGCACCAGTGACGTGTCTTGCGATGATGCCCAGTCTGGAGGCGCCGCTGGGCCTGGAGGAACCCCCGTCTACCCTCTTCGTGACCACGGCGATGGACTGCTCGGTGAAGCTGTGGTCCCATCGCGAGCCCGCGTACCCCCTCCTCTCCTACGATGATCGGAACGAATACTTTGTCGGCTGTGATTATTCGCCCATTCACCCTGCTCTCTTCGCTACCACCGACCTCGGAGGCTCTGTCGACCTCTGGTCTCTCAACTCGGATCATGAGGTACGTCAACTCCTTCCTCGTAGAACCTTCAGCGTTGTTCCTAGTGCCCTGTTTGACTCTGACGATTGTTTGGATCCGGAGTTTCGTGAAACCCTGCCCAGTGTTCCGGGCGTTGGATCTGATTTTGCACTAACCCTGGTTGCGTGTTTTCTTGTCTGCTTCAGGTTCCAACTGCCTCGACACAAGTTGGAGGTGACGCGCTGCTGAACAGATGCCGCTTTCATAAGAAAGGTTTTCACTTGGCTGTCGGTGGCGATGATGGTCGAGTTCGACTGTTTGAGCTTCATGAGGTACTTTTCTCCAAACTGCCATCGGCTCTTCACTCTTAGCTCATTCGGATTCACTCAACCAAGCATTTCCTTTCTTCTTCAGAATCTGGCGATGCCCAAGGCAGACGAGTGGGTCCAGTTGAATCGACTGGTGCGGAATTTGTCAAACAGCGCCTCCGAACAGCGTGAATTCGATGTACAAAACCAATCTCGGCACTTCCAAGGTCATCATAACCATGCGCGATAATACCCAATCACAATCATTGATGCTTTTGATGACAATCAAGTCGGTCTCTTCCACGGTGTTATCCGGAAAAAAGCATTCATGCATTTCACGTTCGCCCCCTGTTTCAATCAGAGGCGTACCCCTCCGTCTTTACTCAAACGCACTTACCATCTTTCAAGTTGTTTTTAATTATTATTGGCTTGCAGCAGCAAGAATAGGGCAAAATATGCACATGGAAACTTAGTCCACGTTAGCCGATGGCAGATAACCGCCACTGGAGCCTGGTGTGGAGGGTGCGGAGTCTAAACAGCTGAGTATCAGCTGATAGGCTCTGTTTTTTATAGAAGAACTGTGGAAGTTTCCCAAGCCACATGAAGTCGCAAACGTGAGTGGAGAGGGCTGTGATAAGTGAAACATTGGTTTTAGAGGGGTTGTTGCGGCCGCGGTATCGTTCTCGAATCGCAGTGGTGATGTGGTTGTACAGGTAAAAAGTCGTCAGTTTATGTTGGATCGACTAATAGCAAACTCCGAAGTGCATTCGAGCAAACCCATCGAATCGGGTGAAGTGTTAATGGAGCGCCGTCTATTCAATATCAGAATAAGTTCACATTAATTTGTTTTTACACGTTTGACTCTGGAAGCAAGTGGTTTTTACTAATTTGAGGATGAGGGTTCATAGCTAACCCCATAGGAGTTAAACGCGCCATTTGAATTTTGCACAAATAAATCAAGTCTTCACGGAACAAATATGTGGAGAACCATCTGCATTTCGAACATGAACACGGAGTCGTGATTACACTTAACTTTTGTAGGCCAACCAATGTCATAATGAGTTTTGCGAAGTCCCGGTTAGCCGAGATGCTGCTTGCAAACCGAATATATTTCTCACCTAAAATGACTCATAATAGGTGAGGAAATTGTTTTGTAGAGCGCAATCCACTTTATGTAAATTGGATGATTGAATTCACCACACCTGAGTTTTCGCAAATTTCGTTGACGATTTTAGCATCAAAGACACCTTTAAATTTATGCATTTTGAGCAGTATCTTTTGTCCATTTGAGATCGAAGGTAAGGACGTGCTTTTTCGACTAAGCACATCAACAGCTTCTCTATAGGTAGTTTAAACGAGTGGGTACAGAATGACAGGGGATTAAAGAATCTGTGGCGAGCAACAAACCAGCACAGTTAGTAGTCGTGAGGGAACCCAGCAAATGTGAGCGATCACGATTCAATCGACTTCCGTGAATCCTCTTCACGCAACTACGTGCCTTCAGAGATTGATGCTTAGCGAAACTGTACAAACGAACAAGAATTTGTTACTTGACTGGCGTGACGCCAATAAACGGTCGTGTCCTCTGTCGACTCTGTCCTCTCTCTTCTCAGGTTGTGACTGGCTGTTAACTATAGGGTTGTATGGTGGTGCAAACTCGGTCGCTGCAAATCGAAGGTAACACTGCTGTTTGCAGCGTCCAAAGTCGGGGAAATCGTAAAGCACATTGTTTGAGATGTTGGCACACGTGGGTGCAAGGAACAAGAATCGAACGAACTTTTGTCAACAGTTGCAATATCCTTGAAGTTGAATTCAGTTTCAGTCTTAGCCGTATCGATTATATGGCTTGTGTAGTTTGACAACAGTAGTATTTAATCCGAGAATCGACACGAATTCTACCAATCACCGAAAGATAGTGGTTTGGGACAAACACAGATTTCAAATTATCGACCTTCGAAAGGATATTTGAATTGTATTTGCCATATCTAATGGTGCTTTGGTGCCTCTTGACAATATTGAGATTGACTGGTGTATATTCTAATGTCTGCTACTAAGTTGAAGGTCTGATGCAAGACTGAGCAAGAGGGTTGCATGGAGGTCTGACAATTGGTTGGTTATTAAAAATTGATTTACAATGTGAGGTGGAAAAAAGTACACATTTGGCATGGGAAAGAGATTTGGTGTGGGAGATGAATTTAAATAAGGATTTCAATCACGAGGTTTACGCTCACCCACGGACATTCCCATATGATAATATATGTTTTATATCGTATTTGGCTGTAGTGCATCTAGATGAAAGAAATGGAGATTCACCCTGGGCATAAATAGTCAAGTCTTTATCAAGATTTTTTAGTTAGCATGTGTAGGACTTTGGTTCTAAAAGATCTGGTTACTCTTGTAACAAATCATTTTTGCGAATTTGTTACCCCAGTAACATCTGATGATGACAGGATCAGTAAGGAACCAGTCTTTTGTTTTTTTTAATTTGCAGATCTAAAAAATGATTTCAGAAAACAACGTCTATGATTGATTGGGTCACTGCAGTAATTGTAAATCACCACCGAAGTTAACTTTAATGTTTAAGGTTGATTGACGAGCAAATCTGCCGGTTTGTTGGAACAGGTGAACCGTAAGCTGATAGGACATAAGTGGAATATGGCATAATTTTTGGTGTGCGTCTTTGAGATAAATGATATGTTGGAGCCAAAGTCTTTTAAGAAATGCTCACCGACTAACGTGGAATTAAATTCCCATGGGACTAAATAAAAGGGCTTTAGAGACTCCCAGATAGTGGCTTTGGTCTGTGACTACTTACACACTATTTATACTGGCCGGACGCACTATCAAATCTTATGTGATACTGACATGCTACAAATTACTTGGAGTGTATAAGGATCTTAAGGCAAGGTTAGCATGATAAAGCAAATGAACATTTGTATTGTGCTCATAGCAAACGATTGATTCTCGAAGCCCGCTTCAGGATACCCAGCCATTAATTTTTAAAAAAGCCATCTTCATAGATCTCATAATCATCCTTTTTCGAAAAAAAATTATCTGACCAATTGTGGGTAATTGTTAGTGGACTTCAGATCCGAATATTTTACAAACAGCTTTAGCTTCAAGAGTGTTTTTAAAACTGCGATTTGTCAATTGACGAATTCCAATGAAGATAAAACCATTCAATACGTATTCTGACTAGGCATCAACAGTTGGCATGTATGGTCACGTGGAGGAGGTGAGGAAAATCCACTATTTCGCAATTGTGGTTATCACCTTAGGTGTGAAATAATTGTCCAAGCTAGGAAGTGCAGAAACTAAACTTCATCTATGCATTTTCAGAGTATTCAAATGTATAAGGTCCATGAGCACTACTAAAAATAAAGTAGCATGACGTTTTTCCACAAAAACAATTTCTGTCTTCTCATTGTGCTATAATGATAACAATTTTTAGAAAATTCGATAGCCTGATCTTGTTAATTCGGAAACTATAAATTTTAAAAATCGAAAATTGTATTAATGCTAAAGATAACAACATACTTTTACGTTTCTCAAATTTTAATGTTATGAATCTAACTACAGCTACTTAACAAGATTTGTTTTATCGAGGCACAAAATATCATTGGCATTTAAGGCCGCTGTCTTGGGTGATACAAATGAATTTTGACCTGTTTCGATCACCGTAATGTCTTTGAAGCAAGTTTGTGTTCTCGGTTGTGGTGCTTTGGGTACAGTGCTAGCTAACTTAGTTGCAAACAATGTGTCAAAATTTCCTGAGTATAAGCCCACGGTAAAATTGTGCATTTACGTAAATTGCAAATTAGGTAATGTGGTATGTACGATCCGAGGAGTTTTCCAAACAGCGGCTTGTTGACGTGATCAAAAACAACAAAGAAAATCCGAAATACGCACCAGGAATTTCTATTTCGGATAAGGTTATCGTGTGTGACGACGCATCTTCTGTGACTGCTGCAGCAGATGTTATTCTGTTTGCCTATGCTACGCGACATGTCAACGAAATATTGGAGGTCATGAAGCAGCATATGAAAAAAAGTGTTTTGTTTGTGTCCTTTTCCAAAGTAAGTGGCTGGCTTAGTACTTTGCAAGCATTATTTTAGCTATGTTCATTTTTTTAATTTGAAATCATGTTATGAATGCTCAAATTTTTTCCCTGCTTTATTTAATTGAAATATCCATCCATGATCTGTGTAAATATTTTATTATGAAATTATAGGGAATGCAGTGTGTTGGAAAATGTCTGTGTGATTTAGATGCCACGCCTGAAATTGTTGCTTTTGTTTGTCAGCCACCGCTTCGGGACCCCGCGTAACAGTGATTGATTGACATTATTTCCTGCGTGTTGTGATTTTTAGGGTCTAGTAGTTCCCGAACCAAATTCTCAGGCTCAGCAAAAGGATATTTGCCTCGTAAGTGAAGAAATCCAGCGCGTGACAGGGATTGAGCCGGTGGTGGTGAGTGGCGCCATGACAGCGAAGGGTCTCGACAAAGCTGAACTCTGTGAAGCAACCATTGGATCAAGAAGCAAAGAAGCCGCTGACGAAGTTAAACGTCTGCTAGAGGTTTGTTATTTGTATATAAAATCGTATATTGTCTATATAAAACAATTTTGCTGGTCTTTAATTTGCTTGCCAAACTAGTTTTGTGTGGTTAGGAAACTAAAGCATTGTTTGTAAATTTCATATGTTGTGTGACTATTTTACACAGACGTGCGCAAAAAGTTATTGTAGTATTCATTCGACCAAAAATGAGTGTGGCTAATTTGTGGATACTTTATGAAAGCAGAAAGATGATTTATCATTTAATTTATGTCCACATGCCGTGCTAGTAGCCATATGTGATAACACAACAATTAATGTACCAGGTCATTCTTGCTCATTTACATAAATTACAATGAGAATTTATTTCACAAATTAAAGCTTTGTTTATCATAGCTCTCTAAATAGTTTTTGTATTAACCAACGTTCGTATACCAAAGGCGAAGAGTATGACGAATTCGTATTACCTATATCGTAGCCCATCCTGAAAAAGTTCTTATAAAAATTGCCCAAACGCAGATTCGAGCCTTACAAAAGCTCGAAATCGCAGTGGAGTCAAAAAAGTGCCGAAATTTTATGGATTATGACCATCTAGTGAATTTTAAGTATCATTTCACACTTTTGAGAATATATTCAATAGTACATCTCTATTTCAGACTGAATACTTGTCGTTAACATGGACCACTGACGTCATCACGGTGGAACTTTGTGGAGCTCTGAAGAACATTCTCTCGGTTGCAGCTGGCATTGTCGACGGTCTAAACTTGGGAGCAAACACCAAATCTGCCATTATTCGCCTCGGGTTGTATGAGATTGATCAGTATTGCCACAGCATGTACGCCAAGTACGGTAAGGGTCTCCGAACGCATCTCCTAATTTGCCTGCCCTTCGCTAGTTAAGACATTCCCTAGATTTTCATGCATGACAATTCAACTGCTTAGTCTGTGATTTAGGTGTTTTTCTGAGTCATCTACGAAGGTTGGAGTCCTGGTGGCAAATTAGGGCGAATGCGTTGACATAACATGCACAGTTTCGAAGCGATTTCCTGTGCTTTATCTCCCTTTGGTCCGAGGATAATCAAATTGTGAGTAGCTGCGCAAATTATCCGACAATGCGCAAATCAGTTCCACACCAGAAATGCCAGCTGTTTAGGCGTGAGCGCGGTATTTTGATGCCCATTTTAATAATTATTATGTTCACCTCAAACAGCACAAAAATCTAACGTTTTTGGGGGAAACGAACACCTCTTTCCTCCTGCGACTCGGCTGCCAAGTGCTTCAGCCTTACATACTCTTGCAGTGTGTTTCCTTTGTCCAGAAGGAAGTACATTCAGTGCTGATTGGTTAGAGTGGACATTGTCGAACGGATAGTAGTTGGAATCGCCGAGAAAATGGGGGAGGTGGCTTGACAGACACGCTGAGCTATCACGCTGTCTGGATGTGCGTCGCTAGAGGCAATGGGCGTACATTTACACAAATCACCCCAGGTGCTTCGGTTATATCAATTCGTCGTCTGCGCAACCCTTCCCTTGTCTCTTAACTTCAACATCCTGCAGCCAATGACATTTCGACGGTTTCACTTCCATTCTCACTTGTGTCGCAATTGGCAAACAGTCTGAAAGCTCTTCTTAGAATCAGCTGATCGCTCACGGCTGAGGATTCTAACTCGTACACGAAGCTGACGTTCCTTGAAGCTACTCCTATCTCACCTCAAGTTATTTGCAGCATCTTAACTGCATATACAAACCTGATATTAATTATTACTTTACCTTTGTCGAACACCTTTACAACTGTCGTTGCAAAACACCAGCCGTAAATACACACCCCTCTTCCCACCACCGGATTTCACACGCACGTTCAAACGCGCTCTGCAATGCTCACCCCATGAAGAAGTAGGCTCTAACCTTGACACCACGGCCCCCTAACGGCCCCTGTTTTCCTCTTGTAGACACCAGGCAATCCACCCTGCTAGAAAGCTGTGGTATCTCTGAGCTTTTCAAGTGTAAGTTGTACTTTCTGTGTCCTGGAACGGTGATTTTGAAGCCACGGCCACTCACCTCGTTTCCACCCGCGTAACTGTAATCCATTAGAGGTTACTTTGTCTGGCACAACTCCAAATCACAACAGGGAGGCTTGACACGTTCTCATTGGTCAATTTCGAAAAATAAGACGAAAACTGGGTTTAATTTTGCACGGTTATGCGTGTCTTCGTGGTCGCCTTAACTGCTACATGGGTAAACAAAACCGTACTTAGGTTTTAACTGGAGTTGTTTATTGTCACATTGTTGACTCCTGTTAACCTCATTGAAAGCGATTTCGTTAGGTCCGTGCAGAGTGACAATCAAAGAGGGTTACCTTTTAGTCCACAAATTCTCTTAACCGAAAACGTCGGTGTTTTATGGTGAGTTATCGCAGCCCACCTCTTTCACAGTACCCAGTTCGCAAGTTCAAAATAATGTAATTGCACATTGGTGACTTGTGTTTCCGCCGGCATTGATTCCGTCCTTCACGCTTCTAGTCGCCATCTCCAAAGTGACCTTGATCCTCGTGGTATCCCGCTAACTCCATTCACCTCTCGCGTTTCCATCAGGTGAACGCTGCAGGCTGCGAAATTTGGTCTCCCGATTGGGATATTCACTTTCTCGACTAACTTCCTCTCTCGGTTTAGCGTCCATTTTCCTTAAAAGGTGACTTCAAAACATCAGTTGGACGTCCACAAGGGGATTCGCCACTGCAATTGAAATCGCTGTCTTTGCAGTCTTAGCTACTCTTGTCAGTGTGTAGAGCTGTCTACGTTCCGACAATTTGCCAATCATCATCTTGTGAGGACCAAGATCCTCGTTGCTTGCTCGTACCATTTCTTTCTTACGGAGTTCGCATTACAGTCAGCCTGCAGATGGCATTATTGGTGTCGAAAGCCTACAAACCATTCCAGCGACGTATTCTTCGTCGTGGCGACACCATCACGACCGAACTCACAGAGCGAATAGATTCGGCGCTCCATTATCGGGACGCAAAATGAAGTGGAACCATTATAATGCCAAGAGTCGAATAACCTTTTGTGAGATAGTGATTTGATCACCCGAGCACAAGCTAAATGGTGTGATTTTCGCCGTGGAAATTGGGTTTTAGCCTTTGGTATTAGCTGACGGTCGTTTAGCATCTGCTGGTGCGTGCTTGCATTCAGACTGATTGGTCAATCAGCCCGTGCGACTTAGGTGTCCTGTTTAGCTGCACCCTCCGCAACCGCAGCAGGGCAATTTTCAAGCCTTCGTCCTAACCTTTGCGCACATTTTTCCGGTTCACTGACACAGAACAGCAGTATCACTCGCGTATCGACTTGTGACTCTCTCCTGAAATTTCATCCCGAGAAACCAGTTGTGAGGTGGTTGGACGTTTCACGTGGAGCGCTTCGCGGTGGAGTTGGCGTCGACAACATTCAAGATGGCGACCTCCCACCAGGCGGACGCATTCAGTTGGACAAAATACCACTGGTATCGTCCGTGTTTTCGTTGACTGTTGCAGGGAAACAGCACTCGATTTCCAGAACAGTAACCTGCTGACACCCATTTCGGTCGTTAAAACATTTCATCTTCCATGCACTCAGAATATGTGATTGGCTGGCATCGGTACACAAGGATGCAATTATCGCAATCCAGAACACGGCTCGCATCTGCGCTGGGGTGCACTTATCCTCATTAAGACGTCATCTAATTGCACTTCCCACTAACTGCTTAATTAAACCTGTTATCGCGCCCCTTAACACGAAAACGAACCCAAAGTACACCGAAACCCACGAAGTGCCCATTGCAGTTGTTCGATTTGCGCAAATTCCAGCTGCCCACTTAAGCCCGCAAAAGTGGTTCCTTGTCCCAAGGTGTACATCATTCACTTTGAAGTGGGAATCGCTTATTTCAGATTATCGATTGGGAACGGTCAATGCCAGCGTTCAGGTTTGGGTGTTTCGGTCCTGAATGCACTGATGTTAATTGTTGACGTGCTCCGGAACGCACGGAGGTGGCATCTGGTGCCAGAATTAGCAACTGCTTACGTGACCTTTAAGCGAAAATCCGAATTAACACTACTAACACTATTTCAGTACGTGGCTTGTTGTGAATTATTACACTCAGAATTGGAGTCGTGTTTTGTAGGCATATTGTGCCAAAGTGACGCGATGCCACAACTCGGCGATGATTGGGATGTCTTCAATCTCCTGATTGGTCGAATGATGTCAGAACCGCAGTACGCGGGCATGACCCTAGAGCAAATCCAGCAGTCTTTTAACCCGGACTACGTGGCTTCTGGACCTGACACGGCGAAGAAAGTAAGTGTTCTAAACGTTCTACCAATTGCAAGAAGGTGCGCTTCCGAATGGTTCAGTATTTACAACGACGTTGATTGGTTGTTGTATCCTCGGTGAGTGTGCTCTTTCCAACCAATAAGCATTCGAGAGTTTAGTAGAGTTGCAAGATCACACAATAAACCGATACATCTACGTGTTATAGATAGTTTGACCTCGGAAAGGTCACTCAAATTGGAGAAGTCACGTTTTCCTTTTGTGGATGGCTTAATATGTGGTTTTAAGTTGACAGTTTCGACAAATTGATATTGGGGTGCAAATTTTGTTCAATCATGCTTTGACGTGGTGTCTGTTCTTCTCTACCAATAACCAAACAGCAATGCGAATATGCTCGGCACTGTGTTCTAGCTAACATCGCGCACCACAGGATGTCGCTAAACTTGCTCTAACCTAATGTCAACTTGACTATAGATCGCTGAATTAAACACTTGTCACCTGATTGAATTTTGACCCAATAATTTAGCCATTTTGCCCTCAAGGACTTTCGTGATTCGATGTTCACTGGATAATTCAATTCCACCGATCTTGTCGCGACCGCTGTACTTTCAACTTTTAAGGCCGTAGCAATACTAAGGATGATGCTGGTTGTGTTTACCGTTGTTCCCTTAGATCCACGCTCAGCTCAATTCGTTGCACCTCTGCGAGATGTACCCCCTGTTCACGGCAGTCCATCTGATCTGCAGTCGCATTGTGCCAGCCACCATGCTAATCCCCATGTTGCGTCACCACCCCGCCCACCGCTGACCTCCCCACCCCTCACCCCCACTCGTTCCCTCCCGAGCTGTTTCCGCGCTTCACAAGGTGGGGTGCCGCTGTGGTGACAACCTAGGATTCGTTTTGTCTGGAGTTATCGCCTTTTATATAACGCAGTTTAATTTAACTAGCAGTTAGATTAGATTATTAGCCCGGTTTTGTCACTAATAAATTCAAATTTAATTTCATGAGTGGCTCTTGTTGGAGTTGAAGGGGGGATATTGGCTAAAGTTATGAACGGTTACCCGGAACTGATCGGCAATTGATGCATCAAATCAAACATGGATGCCCTTCGCTGATTGGTTGTGCTTTCACCTATGGGTCTCGCCTTCTTGCTGATTCGTTTTAATCGACGCAATCACAACCGTATCTCACCTCTTCAATGTACACTGGGAATTGTAACTCATCTCCCTAAAGACCTGTCACCGCATTAGTTACTAACGTGAACAGGAGCTGTTCTGAGTAGAAACAGCGATTACTTGTAAAACTTGTTGCTCAAAAATTCATAAGTTCGAACCAATCGCACAAATTATCTGTGCTCGCACCTGGTTTCCACTTTAAAGCTGATTGTGCAGGTAAAGAACAGCTTATTGTTGCTACTGTTGCGGGTGATTCCTGCAATAAACGATAACACCGATTTTGCTATGACTTCGTTATTTCGATTTTGGAAAGGCACCTCATGTGGATTAAGTATCAATGTCAACAAATTACAAAGTAAAATAAATCAACGTAATGACAAACTCTGGGCGCTCCGTTCAGAAAACTGAACACATGTTCGCTAACCGTTCTCTAATTGGCCAGTGCTCGACCAATGGGAGAACTCTAATAAAAGAACCAATCAATACAAACCAAAGCCACTGACCACCTGTCGGTGAGGCCATTTAGAACAATAACACACATTTTAGACCTGTTAAACTAGCCTTGTGTGTGGTCATTACTCCCATACGTGCCATCTTGCGCCAACCAACTTTCATGTCAAAAACGGGTCACACGGTTTGTGACTTGGCTGCACATAATTTACGGGCTAGTAGCCAACAGAGCCTGGAACAAGTGCTCAGCGTTTCACAAAGCATGCTCTGAAGTTATATTTCTTGATTTAACTGCCAGAAAAAATAGCGGATCAAGCAGGCAGGTAGAGGGGGTTTCTGGGTGAAGTGAGGGGTAGGTCTGAGGACTACATTCGGCGAATTCGTTTAATGGGGGTCTAATTGTCTCTGTTCACTGTGATTTTTATGTAAAATACTTGTCTTAGGACTCTGATAATGAGGTGTGCACTTGGATAGACAAGGGTATCTGAGAGATAAAAAATACATACAGGAAGTTAAGGGAGGTGGGTGTGTGAATACATGTGCATATCTGCATACATCACAATACCGCTTTCGTCATTGCTTCATTGTCGGACGTGTAGAGCTCCACGCGATTCGTCCATTTGTCGATGTTGTGGGGGGTCTTTTGGTGCGAAAGACGAAGTTAATGTTGATTGAAAGACGATCGGTACTAACAAGAGGGAAGCAACAACAGGCGATCAGACGTTCAATTTCAGCACTTAACACGATTACATCACTAATTAGGCAGTAGCCCCATGCATTTTCATAAAGTAACTTAAGCAGGTCGATAAGCCATGCAATTTGTGTGCTATCTGTGTGCTAGAACTGTTGTTGTTGCTGTTGTTGGTGGTGGTGGTGGAATTAAGACAATGAGAACATGATATTTTGTCTAATGGCATCACAGTGCTTCACTCATTCGACAGGCCAAGCCATGTCTCTGAGCAATTCTGTGCCTTGTATGTGATTAACAGTCAATCGATTAGTAAGTAATCATCGATTGTGAGCCAATGCGCGTAAGGGTTTGTCGTCACAAGGTCATGTAATCAACGAATCACGCAAAAGCTATGAATTGGGACACTTTGCATCACACCAATATCCATTTTGAAAAAAAGTTTGTACCTGACAATCTTGAAAACCAAAACTACTACAGTTAAGTGTTGAATCCACTGAAGAAAGACGAGTGGGAATTTAGGCTTCATTGTCGCAACACCGCCTGTTTTTGTTTCATCTCGTGCGAATCTTTTGATTGTGTGGCCATTAGCCGAAAATATGAGCTTCATTTCTCCTAGCTAGTGCCTTTTCTGTTGGCCGAACTCTTTGTCAAAAGCCTCAACTTTTCACCGAAAATTCGAGCAAAATACACCGAAAAGTGCATTATTTGCAGAGCTGAAAAGACCAGGATGCAGGCAGTGAAAGTGAGCGCAAAGGCAACGCCCAGACTGCCCGCTTCCTGACCCCGCTAAGCCCAATTGAGGCCTGTGGATTGGTGTGGCGGCCAAAGCGGTGTTTGGGTAATCTTGATTAAAAGCATTTCAAAGTCAGTTTACAAGAGTACATGCACACGTGATCAGACCTTCGAAGCGATGTGGAAATCGCTTTAGGTCCATTTGGGGACCGGTTGCACATCAGCCAATCACAAACTAGCATATCATTTAAACAATTTAAGGGTAGAAGACTAACACTCGAAGTGCGTAAAGCTTGGATGACAGGTCATCTATATAACAGTTGCAAATTTAGACAGGTACACAGTTTTATTGGGCTCTAGATACCTATAACCCCTTTGGATCCCAAAATCACGTGACTCAGTTTAAACAAAATTTGTACTCGGTGAAACATTCGACGCGCAGTTATTAAAAAATCTAGCCCAATGGGCGTTAATCGTGCAGCAAAATGTGCGTGCAAGGGAGGCAGCTTCGTCAGTCAACTTACATTGCCCGGTAGTCGCACATCAACCGACTAAAGCAGCAACACACAAAAATGTTTAATTTCACCGCCTGGACGTCGTCGTCAGTAGTCGTGATGACGCAGGCATTTCGACCAATCACAAAAAGACAACGTGCCCTTGAATGAGCAATCTTATAAAGGGCATTTTTGTAACGAAGATGTTAATGGTGTGTTAAATTGCTGACCTTTTCCAGTACAATGAAATACTCGCATGACCTCTCGATTACCCATTGTGCATTCTACCAGATGGTCCTATTCCGACCGATTTGAAACACGAGCGTAACCACTAGGCGCAAATTTCATTGGTTGCTAACGTACACTTGCTCGAGGTCTGTGATCGAAGGTAGGCGGGGGATTGGTTTGGACCTCAGCGTACACAACAGGAGAGTTCAAAATGGACACGGGGGACTTGAGGCTGGAGCTGCGGACGTGATGGCGGTAGACGAGGTTCGGCGTGGAGAGAGCGGCAGGAGACGCAGCCCGATCTCGTGGATTTCGACGACCTAGGACTTGTCCATTGTACCTGTGGATCAAAAATTTGACCAAGGTAAAAAACAACAAGTTTCAACACTCTTCAACAATGCACACTCCAGCGTGTCCTATTGCATTCTCTGATCGTTTTACAAGTTTCTGCGTTCCTTTCTCATCAAACGAATTCTTAGGCCAGTTTTAACGTCTTCCAAGGAACTAGTTTTTGCAAATAAAATATCATTTCCGATCGTCACTTGTACAATTGGGCAACGTGTGGTCTAGCGTTGCCACGGTGACAAAAAAGGTGCCTTTTGGGTTGACTTAATTTGAACGTTAAACTCTAATTGGGTGCCCTGCTCACAGTTAATCTTTGCAGTTGCTACTACAAGACAATCTTTCCGCAACCCCACACCAGAACACTGTCAGGGGATGCGGCTACTCGGCATGTGCCGGAGACTTCGCTCTTTCGCTTCCTGTTGTTATTCACAAACCATTTATCATTTTTCAGGAGTGACGTGATCCAGGAATGGTTCGTTTTGTTGACAAGTGAGGTGATAAATGGCAGTGAGAACAAACAACGTGGAACTGAAATATGGGGTTTCGAAGTGCCTTTTAGTTGTTTTCCGTGGCGAATTACAGTCAAGTAGGCAACAGTCGGTAACTCAGCAATGTCCTTAATGGTTAGCAGTGGATTATTATTCACGAAATCGCAAAAACGTCTCAACATCATATAACCCAACACGACTATATCTAACTTCCCACTTTCCATTTTAAATAATAACCTCGTGGGTGAATTCATTCAAACAAACAATTAATGTCATGTCGAATTTATGCACGCGCCTTCTCAACTACCCCTTATTTCTCACATTTTTAGCAAACAGTTTGAAAATCTTTTTGACCAAATCATTTTAGTTTACTCAATCGGTTTCTGATGCTTAAATTATCTGCCATTCTGCAGCAAACTTTCTGAAGGTCAAAGTGCATTAAATACACGGATAAGAAATCCACAGTTTTCAAAAGGCTTCATTTGGAAAGCACAGTTGCGCTCTTGGCAGTATTTGATCACACAACCGACGTACTTGATCCCAACCAAATCATCAGAATCATGGAAATTCCTGAAGGGTCTCAAGAAGAAGGGTTTATTGTCGACGTCACTTGAATTGTGATTGGTGACGTTGCTGTTGTTGTTCTGGTTGAGACGCTGGTAGAAGTTGTCGGCCACGCTGCGCGTCTTCGATGGCAGGGTGTTCGAGGCGGCGACCTGTGGAGCCACGAAGTCGACGCGCTTTCGCGTCGCTGCAGTCGACGACCCTCCGGCCTCTGTATTCAACGCCGAGTCGTCGGGGAAACTGGCTCGTAGCACACCACTGCCCTCGCGATTAATCGACAACCTCTGAAGGGGTCTACAGATCAATGTAATACAATATATATGATACATGACCTTAAACATTTCAATTCAAATGACTGTCATGATTGAGTGGCCAATAGGATGTTGATGCTTTATTTCCCCTATTCAACTATTTTGGTGCAGTTTGAAAATGACGCCTATACTTCTGGTGCCCTTGAGACTTTATAACCACATTGCTGAATTCTTTTGGAAAAAATTACGTCCACAGGAAGTAGCTAAACGCAAGCAAGCTAGCAAATGGCACAGGCACGTGACGTTGTGATGATAATGTGCCAGAATTACGAGCACTTGGTCATTCACACGCCAATTTGAGGCTAACTTGAGCTCGCCGTGATTGGCGAAATCTCGAAAAATCAACCCAGAATGCAATGCCTTCCGTGGGATAAAGAAGCAGAGTGCAAGTTTCACATGGACATCCGTGCCCCATTTTTTTATCCCCACGCAGTGCACAGATTACCGATTGGTTGGTCACATCCTGGTGCACAATGTGATTGGTTGCTTAGTCTGGCCATTAGATGTAGTTTACGCGGCTGCAAAGATTTGTTTTTGAAAGGTGGCGATGCGCACGAATCTTGACGTTTCGACTTCTTGGGAGTCATCATCGAATGTCCAATTCCGGACTTGAAAAAATTAGCCCAGCGTAGTGTAATAATGAATTTATTGTCATACAAATTCCACATCTACTTGATTAACCACCCTCCAAGACAAATGATTGGCTAATTAAAGTTGAATTTGTTAAATATGCAGGGGAACGACCTTGTCACGCAATGCTGCAATAACGCCTTTTCGCAAATGCGGAACTTCGTGACACTACGATGGAGATAATGCTAAGACAGAGAACATGCAGCGTGGACTGCTTTCGAATTTTGGTGCTGACGAGTAAAAAAAAAATCTTGAAACTGTGAGAATAGCATGTAAACACATAAGTTGATACCTCATTTGGGGAAACAGGCGAACATTTTGGTGAGGTGAGCGAGGAGCGGGCAGGGGAAGCGTTGAGGGGAGGACAGATTTGGTGGCCGTGGGGGTGTGGTTGATGCCGCTGCTGCTGCTTCCACCGTTTGTTTCACCAACATCGAGAACTTCAACGCCCTTCAGCTGGGGCCGGCGACCACGCAAAAGTCGATGACTGGTGTCTGGTGGGGAGCGAGGTAGCCCCATCTGCGAGGAGCGCTGGTGGCTCGTCGGCAGAGGAAGTGGGTCCTGTGGAAGGAGGAATCGGTGCGAATTTGCCGAGGGCAGAGTTCGCAAGCCGTTGGTACCAGTGTTCTCCCGGGTCGACGCCAAATGGCTGTAAGCGGATCAGAACTTTAAAAGTGTGAAGCACCACGGAACGCCTTTCAACCAGCAACCTTCCAACTTGTCCCGTTCAAAAATGGCTGGTTGCAGCAATAATGGAAGGGACCACGAACTCAAGCTCAATAGATTACGGGCCCCGGCATGTGGTCTCAAACCACGTCAAGACAACCGAGTTTATTCTGGCCCAATTACGTACCTTCAGAGCTCAACCAGGTTGCTATCGTTGTGTGGCGTCTGCGCGTGTGTACTTACAGCTCATAAGCGTGAGACAACACGAGTTATAAGTGTGTATACATCGAGACCTAGGTGAACGCAATCACACGAATTGGAAACCCAGGATTACTATTCGCCTTAATGAGGTGTGATTTGAGGTTCCGCTTAGCTAACGGTGTGTTGTGAGAGAGGGGATGCATGTGTGGGAGAATGGACCGACAGGACTAACGAGTGTGAATCAATGCGATTTAACATCAAGATCATGTGTATAGAATCGACAAGGGCTTAGCTTGCTTTAAAAATGTTCATTTTGTCAACTGCTGCACGTTTTGGGTAAATTAAACGAATCAGATTTGGCCAAAGTCCTGATCGACTCACTGAAGTTCGTGAGAAGACTAAAGCAATAATTAGACGAATCACACGTAACAGCTGTAGGTCGCTTTAAATACCTTGGACGAGGGAAGAGGTATAACAGTTAGGTTCCGAAAAATTTGTCGAATTTCACTAAAGAAAACCACACAGCTTCGGTAATATGGGCTTTTAAATGAGATTAGGACGTGCAACTTTCCAATCACAGGCATTGTTTGATAACTCGTGGGAAATTACTGGACGATACTAGGGAAACTAGATTGTCGTCATTTTTCGCCGTAAGTCTTGACCAATGGACTTAAAGAACGGTTATGTGAACTTGATGATGATGATTAAGGAGGTCATTTGATGGCAAACAGACCAGAACTTTGAAAATAACGACTTTTTAAATTTGCCGTAGGATAATTTAACAAAATTATGTACTTGACTAAAGTTCATTTTTTGTACTTCAAATTGCGTGTTTTAAGAGTGCTGTCAACCAATCAGCGTGAAGCAACCCTCCTATTGGTGGTTCGCGAACATTCTGATTGGCCATTGGTTTTGCTCCAGACCTGATACCATCCACATTGCCACTAGAGGTCAAGTCAAGGCCAAAGGAGGCTTTTGGTTAAAAGAACAAATCTTTCGCAGAATTAGGTGGCCTAACAATTGATTTTTGACCGCAATACCTCAGGGTCGTTTCTAATGAGATTAGTGGTAGTCTTCACGAAGGATTTTGGACTAGATTAATTCAAAGGTCAGAGGTCAGCGGTGGACCAATGAAAGGAGCCTCATTAAGACCTTGTTCCGGAGATGTCAATGTTAAACCCCCAAATATCTCACAGGACCTTACAACTGATTTTATAGCATTATGTTGCAAGGTCATTGGTGTCATTGGTTCAGAGGTTAGAGGTCAGGGTTAGACCAATGAAAAGGGTCCACTTACGAACCATTTACTGAACAACTTTGGGTGATAGAAATCGTAAAATTAGCAAAGGGAGTCAGTTGTGCGCGCATGTTTGCATAAATTTAGGTGTTGAAAGCACACCGCCAAATGGGTTCTTACATAATCGGTACACGTCGGTGCGTTCTAGGCAAGACAAACATCCGTTTTTTTAGGTATTCATGACCACTAATAGTCCCATTGTGTCTCTTGCAGATATCTTCTCCATTTCAATTCGGCGTGTGCAAAATCCTGAAGAAATGTTTTTAGTTAAAGACCAGACCGACTTACTTAAATGACTACCAAGCGTGGAAAAGTTGTAGTTGAAACTAAGTTGGATGGAGAAAACGAAGTGCATTACCTTGGTCGTATGTCGATCGCATCGCCGTTTACATAAGAAGATTCACGTGTCCCACGATCTTTTGCCTTCAAAGTCGGTGACGCAGTTATCGTTGGGCTTCGGTAAAGAACGGGAGGACTAGACGAGTCCTGTGCCCTGTAGTAGAGTCGACTATGGGCGACCGCATCTGCCGAATCGAGTGTGGCGCCACCATCGTCGGGGGAGGCGTCGTTAGGGGTGTCTTTGTCCCTCTGGTCAAGTCCCTCGACGCTGCAGATGTCTCCAGTGGGATTGCGAAGGAATTTTTCAGCACTGCCGACGCGGGGAAAGGAACTGGCTAGGTTGGAGGAATTCTTGGACTCGTCCACTCGACGTGGCGTCATTCTCTTGCGAATCAGTTTTATACGATTCAGCTCGTCGCCCTGCGTGAACTCGGATTTGGCTGCCGAGGGATTCAATTTGTGCGGGAGATCCATTGCTATATTAAAACAATGACATTTATTGGATGAGATGCGCTCGCATGACTCATGAATGGTTATCTGCCAGCAGTTTATTGATTGGTTCAGGCTTGGCGATGACTCACACACTGCTTGTCTGTTATTTCCACGACTAAATTTAGCCTGTCTAGTGAGTAAGTGGGTGCGACTCCACAATCTCTAGTCTTCTTACTTTCTCACGCAATCGAAAAAACTTAATGGCCTTGTTAGGTGTCCAATCCTGTCTAACTTTCTATGCAACGCGAACAACTAGGAATCCAAGTTACCACGATAATCGTGGAATTGTATAAAGTTGTGTCAACAGGAAATAAAAAGCAAACTATTTTTGGCCCCAACATAAGAAGTTGTTAAATACTTTGAGTATTTCTGACATGTTCGTTAGAAATAAGAAGTTATGCGCTTTGGTTATGGATGGGTTAGACTCGATCCACGTAGATTTTGTGGAGGTAAATAACTCGATAATTTTGTGCAGGAAGTAGACTTTGGTGACGTCAGTCAAGAAGGCAAGCTCAAACCACGAAATTAATGCCGGGGAAAATTATCCGAGGTAATAACACAAGGTAGGCAGACCCAGTCTGAAGCCAGCTGTTCCCTTTGCTGCAAGGACTCTAGGCACCCTAATCAACTTACATCGGCTGATTGGCATGCCAAGCATTGCGCGATTTGAGGTGCCTTCTTTCGCTGTGTCAGAGTCGTTAGCGTCGGTGTCGTTGGTGGTGAGTGGAGGTGGGGACTGGGACCGCCCAGTGATCTGGATTTTGTGGTGGTACACAAGTTTGCCATCGCCGTTGAGACGCACGCGGGCTTTGCCAGCTGGGGGATCTGGATTGGGGTTGACTAGGATCACTGGCAAGCCCTCTTCGTCAGCTTCATCGGGGAGTGAGGTCGTGGCGGTAACGGGCGGTTGGGAGAATTCACCACCAGCTTCTGCTGCAGGCAATCTGGAGGCAAAGAAGGAGCGTCAGAATATAAAACGAGCTTTCTTCGTCCACATGGGAAGTCAGCGCTAGAAGAAGGCGTTTCCGCCTTTAGCCATAAAATGACATGGGTGAGAAGAGTTCTAGAGGGAATCAGGATGTAAACACCATGAACTAGGGTTGATAAGCGTCAGACACTAACTTGCATGGAAATTGGATGGTGCTTCGAGCTGCCACCGTCCTAGAAACAGATTTCGAGGATTATGATGGAGTCCATTTGTTGCTGAACATCAGCAAATATACTGATCGAAGGCTAGCACTCACCTTGAGGCGTCTTCCCGCCTTGCAGGCTTGATGTCAGATGAGACGTAGATGATTTTGCCCGGGGGTCGAGGAATCTGAGCACCACTAGCTTCCGGAAGATCCTTGCGTCGCCGGTTCAGCAACGGCGAAGGTGACTCCTGTCTCCGACGACGCATTTTATGGGCGTCACCCTCATCCCAGCACCAGACCTGGTGTTCCTCGAGCCACGTCTGCTGTCGACCGATGATCGAGCCGGGACGACAGATGCGAATCCACGCTATCGCCTCTGCCGCTGTCAGGCGATAGTGCTTCATCAAGTAGCAGCCAATCAGGGTGCCAGTTCGGCCTAATCCAGCTGAATAGTTGGAAGGTGCACTTTTGGTGATGGCAACACAAATGTATGATGACGTGGTGAACATCCAGACCAGATCGTACAATTTAGTTTGTTTTCAACCACAATTACCATAACATCTGATCGAATTGACCAATGTGTCCAGATAGGCGATAATTCACAGGCCAAATCTACCTCAACTCCCGTTTTAAAAATCGATAATTATTGACTGGAATACCTAGTGGATGATTATGTGCTAAATCGCCACAAATATCATATCTTTTACTAATCAAAAATCTATATCATCGAAGGGTAAGCAAAAAGATTTTGAAAAGATAAAAACCTCGCAACGATAATTCAGGCCACCAGTGTACGTTAAAGTACACATTTCAGCATTTATATGTGTGTGTGTACGTGTATATGCGTACTGCTGGCCTAAAAGTACATTTGCTTAATGATCACTGACCCGGATTTGTCTTTGGGCCTACAACACATAAAATGCGAGATAGGTCCGGTTGACACCCATTGGTACAAAAAAGCGATGTTCCAGCAAATATTGGTGAGAATAGACTACTTAAGAGTACCTTTGCAATGGACAGCGATAACACCGGTGGCATTTTCGCAGATTTCGAGGAATTGTCGGGTGATCGCCTCGGTGGGAACAGAGCCATCAGGGAAGAAGAGGTCATGGTGGGTGATGCCAGCTCGCGTGAACCTGGAGGCCTCGTACATCTTCTGGTTCAATCGGATGACGTTGGAGACATTGTGTTTCCGGAAGTAGGGCAAGTAGAACTCTGGGGCGTGCAGAGGATAACCTAAAGGGAGAATAATGGCAACAGTTTGAACCAACGACTTCAACCAATCCGACGCCATTACTGTGGATGTCTCCTTGTTTATTGGTCAGTTCAAGTTCTCAAAAGAGGCACTTCCAGTTAAAAGACCAGACACGTGGAGAAAACAAAGCCGCACACTCCGATTGTGAAGCAAATAGACGATTACCCACTTTGTGCGGCGGATCAAGACAGTGTTTAGAACCTGTGACTTTAACCAACCAGATGCTGACAATGTGGATGGCTTCTCGTCTATTGGTCAATCCAAGGTCAATACAAGTTCTCAAGAGATCTACAGTTAAAAGACTAGGCTTTTGAAGGAAATAAAAGCGCACACTAATTGCCTGACTTTTTGAGTGTGAAAAAAGTCTGAAAAGCATGCGGGTTATCGCTCAGAAGCCACCAGTTCCTGCATTAATGAGTTTCAAATTTAGCCTCCCGCGTCCAACGTGCATATCCGAGAAAACAAGGTCAACATTGTAGCTAATGAGCCTCCTAATTGGCTGGCGGTTCGTGACTAGAATTTACTTTGGCTGATCTGCCGACGTAGGAGTTGTTTGCGTTGCGTGTGCATTAGCCGCAGGCAGAATTAGCATGAATGTTTACAACCAGCTAGAAACGTTCCCATATGACAATTTTTTGGGCCATTGAACTGTTCACGCAACCAAAATGTCGCAATTTAAGTTCACAGAAAACAAAGCCACGAGTATTTCATCTATTTACGTTGCCTGGCGTGTTAAGAACGGATCGTGGTGCATGATAAATATTGTTAAAAGGGTTTCTCACTAGGTTGACTCTACTTAAACGTAAATATCTATTGGTTTAATCAAATTGATGCAGTAGACAGGACTCAAAAACGAAACAGAAAGCCAATTTTTATCAATTTAAACAACCAAAATTGACCGCTAGCTTAAAGATCGATAATCTGGACGGTGAAAAACCAAGAAATTTATTTTGCTCGGAAAAGAGGGTTTGGTGTCAAGCTAAATTTCATTAATTAATGGTAAATAAACCCATCAACAAACGAAATGAGCACGATTAATTCCACATTGAAATATTGACGCGCACTTGGAATGTGAAGGTCAAATATGCAATTTAAACAAAGTAGTTTAATTAACTGCCTAACCTTGAAATCTTCCAATCGGTAATCAGGCCAATGACAAATTGCCATTAGGTTTAAACAAATTCCTGGTCACTACATAAGCCTAACGCAGTCAAGGTGCAAGTTACAATCTAACCTCAGGCATTTCCCTTCGCTTGGGGAGTGAAGGTGTGTGTGAAAAAGCAGTGTGCCTGCCACGTAAATGTTATCTACAGGCATCGCTGCTACATAGACCAGTTGTTTTAAAGCTGGTAGCAGTGAGAAATAGCAATTGCCCACGTCGCATAGTGACATCCACACACCCACACAAATTAGGTGGACGAAATTACCCCAAGTTTTTTGGGTTAGAAGTAGCAAATTCGCCAAATGGCACACTAACTCACCGTTGTCAAGCATGGTTCGTGAATGTGGTCCGGAGAACGCGATGAACTTCTTCGGCAAAATCCAACTAAGATCGCCGTTTTCAACTTTCTACAAGTAGATATTCAAGATTAGAAGAAAATAAAACTATTTATCAAGCTTAATAAGCAGGTAGTTCTCACCTCATTGTACTCGTAGTCATCCAAGTCGAAGTTTTCGAAGTCCAAAAAACGCAGATGGACAGCCTGAAAAATGCGAATTTCGATTGGTCCTCAACTACTTCCAGGGCTACCAACCAATCAGTACCTGTTTTTTGGTGTCTCAAACCATCTTTGAACAAGTCCGGTGCACCATAATGAAAACTGACTTGTGCCACAGAAGATAATGCTGCTGATTACGTGGGAGGGCAGTGTGTTGTGAATTTAAACAACAAAACATTGAACGATTTTAACTGGATCAAGAATCAATTGGAGCAAACCGGCAGGAATGGGCAATTTGAAAAGGAGCTGTGTCTCTTCGTCCTTTTGATTGCAGAAATAGTCATTGAAAGCAGCATTGTTGCTATCAAAACAAGACCGACGCGAGCGCAACTGTCGATTAAAACGTGTTTTGACAAAGGTTGTTGATTACACAAAACAATGGAATTTTAAGTGGATAATTTGACGCCCTCTTATGGCATTCAGGCTAGAATGACATTTGGGCAAACTGCACAAATCAATACATTTCAACGTTGTTTGACTGAACACAAGCTGTTCACGATGAAAATGATTACAAGTTAGTTTGTGAAGTGATGCGCTGCGTAAGGCAACTGAAAGCTATACGCAAGCCCACGTTCGCATTCCAGTGTTTGTCACAAAAACACATTCACGCACACACACTTTGGTGACCTTGAAGATATAGATAGCTGATGAGGAATTTACTGTCATTACCGTTTCTTCTGGTAAACCAACAGCTCTTTCCTTGGGGAGATTATTAGTTCCTGAGGCGTTATCCCGAGTTTATATAGATATTTATTTTCCACATCATTCGCTATGTGCACAATTTTTTATTTACCATACACTTTTCATAATTTCACCCCATTGGCTCAAAAGTGCTTTAAATAAAGCATTGATTTTATTGGCTGACAGGGCTGTAATGATTCAGATTTACTTCTCATTTGAATGCGCTGATCCGGATGTTGTACGTGTGATCACAAGTCTAGATTCCTGAGAATATCATTAGCTTTTGCCGTTGGACACGATTTAAGCATTTGCGTTATCCATTTCGGATTACAGGGTTCGAACCGAGGCACAGGGCTTAATTAGCAACGCAGTACTCTTTTAAGCATGCTGAGAATATTCTAAATTGATGCACTTCCTACCGTGATTACGCAAGTGAGTGGTCAGGTGGCTTTGTTTTCATGTGAGCGTCACGCTGCATTGTACTACACTTCAGTTGTAGCCATGGCAACGCAAAAGGAAGCACTTTATTGTGAGAAGTTTTTCTGAGAAACCAGGACAATGGGGTCGCCATCATGATTGGCATCGAGAGAGCTATTTAAACAAAATCTACTTAACTAAATAAGATAATTTATTCTCGTGTCTTTTCTGACCATCTTGAATAGACACATCCGTTTGTAGCTTTCCAAAATCAGGGTTATTTGTTGTTTAGCGATAAGAAATAAACAAGCAACTGTCGCAAACAGTTTGGTATTTAGGCCGAAACAGCGCCAGAAATAGAACAAACATTTGCTGCTTATTATGAGTCAAAACTGATGAAATGCTAAAAGGGGTATTTATGAACAGCCACCTCGTCCAATCAGATCGGACAATTTCATTGAACTAATGCATATCTGTGATCTGCTGGCACAAAAGATGCGAAATTAGATCTTCAATTTAAACAAAATGAGCAGGAAAATTAAGCAGCTTCATTTTTGAGCGCATCCACCCCAAAAAACGCAGTAGCACGTTTTTCAGCATCACCAAGCAATGCTAAGCAACAGCGCATTTAAATAAATTTAATCACACACACACACGCACTTATTTTCTCAGATTTAATTTCTTTAATCTACTGGCGCAGAAAGAGGTCAATCAGTACGCACACATGGTTCCCTGAAATGGCTGGAACTAAAATTAGCCATAATCACTTCGTTTGATGGAATGGCAAGTCGAAATCACTTTTACGATATTCTAAGCATTGCTAAGCCTCTTTAGAAGACAATGCTGACTATTTGCGCTTTAATAAAAGAGCTTAAATCTGGTCAGGCTGAGTGGTAACTTAAATGTGAAAATCCGTGATTTCTAGCTGTCATATAAAAAAACGCATTTAACCAATCTGGTCAAGGCATCACCGCTTCCAGACACTTTTATTGGTGTATAATCAACCAGTAATCATTGGCAAGTAAAATAATTTTTGTAAAATAATACCCGCTGAATTGCCTTCAGTTGCATAAAATAATTGCGCAGTTTTACCGTGCATGCCTTTTTTCACATACTACGTGGGGTTTCAGGTAGGAAAACTTTGCCAGATTTTTTACACAAGTTGTTAGAAAGGCTTTCTGCTTGTAATTAAAATGCGCGGACAAAGGTGTACTGTGTTTAAGATCAAAACGGCACCAGATAAGGAAAATAAAATGAGTCTTAAAATGTCCGGCTTTCAAATGTCGTAAAAAATTGCTACCGGAAGCGTTAACTACACCAGTAACGGGTCAGTACTTTTAGTGGATTTTAGAGGGCTAGGGCTAACGACTTAATTATCTGCAAGTTTTGTTCGTTTGTGGAAAATTTAAACATCCATTACAAGTGCATTCTGATTGGTCATACAACTCAAAGAATAAAACGATTTATGAAATCGTTTCTGGATGTGTACACTCAAGACTACGACCATTTTTTTCGCGAATACAAAACCTCAAGCACTTCAATTCAGCCTTAAAAAGAGCATTTTGTTTCCAACTTTCTAACTCTGACCTTTAGGAATCAGCTAATCAGATTACACATGACCTCATATTATATGAAATCTAATTGGATGACGATACTGAAAAACCAAGGTCAATTTCTTTGTTATCTAACAACAGAAGTTGCTCTTGTGTGTTTTGATAATTGGTGTGCAGTGATGCGAGACGTCAGTGTATCACGTGTTCTGGACACACACGGGAAAGTGAGAGCGGCTTTACCTCGTGGTTCCCTTTAGGTACTTTAAACGACATCTGTGCCAATCAAGTTCACTGCTACTTTGGAATGTGAATGCGAGTTGTGGTCACAGAATTTAAATCACGCGGCACATTTCCGCGTTTAGCTAGAATGGACAGGGCCATGGTGATGGTGATGATGATGCATTGCAAGAGGAAACCCCAGTAAAGCTTTTAAAATGTGCCAATCGATTGGTTAAATGTGGAATTGATTAATTTATTTATCGACTGTCACAAAGGTCGCAGCGTATCTGAGGTCAGGCAAAGCCTGTGGATCATAAAAATCGGCTAACAGAGAAAATCAAAACATGATACGCACCTTTTGGATAGCCTGGAGGCAGTTGACTAGGTTGAGATGGTAGCAGGATGGTCCAAATGCGGCGTCCCTGGACAAACAATTGGAATTTAAAATGCGCTCAACATCAAGCTGCGTGAGTTTGTGCTAACATGCGTCGAATACTGGATAATGCTCTCAAAGCCAACTTTAATCCGTGAATTGCATTAGGCGTCATGTTTAAAGCGATTGCCTATTGGTTAATCGCGCTCCCAAAAGTCAGCTATCCGGAATTTTTTCACTTCTCGATTTCCGTGTGTTGGCGTTTACAAGGTTGTCTGCGCCAATTAGCGCATTCCCTTCTGATGCAAAAGCGATTTACAGCGAGTAGACAGTGGCTGGAATGTTACTTTCTGCGCATGACGATTGACACACTTAACAAGCTTCACAACGTCGATTCGAATGACCAATTAGAATCTTTGAATGGCACCAAGTTGATTAATAGCATCCACTCATAAAAAGCATCTACACGCCGCCAGACGTGCGATAAATCTGCATTTGAATGCGAGACGTTATAAATACGTTTACAGGCAAAAGCGTCGAGTTGATTAAAGTTGCAGATAGTTGGGAATCGGTGTCTATAAACACGTTTGGGTTAGCAGGATAGCAGAAATTCTACTAATTAATGATAACCACTTGTCGAATAAGCGCGGATACCGCGACGTAACCGTAGTCACTTAAAATGTCTAACCTGACCGTAAACGACTTGACGAAAATCGGCCTGTCAGAAGTTTTACCTCAGTTTTCAGTGTGACACCGTTGGTTAATGTGCTGTTAAGCATTGTGCAAGCAGCATAAAAAACTATGTATCAGGTTTTTAAAAAAGCATGAAACGTTTTAGACGGAATCAGGACGTGTTATATCGGATTCAAAGGTCAAATAACATCAAAAAAAAACATTCAGCAAGTTTAAATATTGATTTTCAAACGGAGACAGTTATTTGCAGATTCACCAAGCCTAACTGCATAGGACACCCAGTAGTGCGTTTTTTTTGTCTTCAGAAGGAGATGGGAAATAAAAACCGGTTCATCTGACAAAGTGATCGTGCATTACTTTCATCGGGTAGCAAATTAAATTTAACGAAATTGGCATAGTAAACGCGGGGAGTGAAATGCAAGTTGTGGGAACCTACAGCCTACATACACACTGAGGTCTAAGGCCTCATTATTTCCTATAGGAATTACAAATTAACGGAATAGGATATCTCGATCTAAAGTAATGGTTATGGGGTTGAAATAAAAGCAAATACCAGATTGGTTGGTTTGGTTATCTTAGTGAGAGCGATGGCGCAACTAATTATCTCTGTGATTGGTGTCAGCTTCATAAGCCTGGCATTTTAAGGTCGACTAGACACGCTACCAAATGCCTCATCAATGTCGGATGTCTGTAACGATATTACCACAAGTAATTGCATCAAACGCATAGCTCCAGAGTCTAACAGGAGATGACGCTCTTGACAATTTACACAACATGCAGCATTGGCAATTGGCGGTAAATGTCAATTATTGCTATTAGTTCACGCGACCATAGCAAGTATGCCGGTGGGATTGCCATGAAAAAAATCGATCCCACGACACCCAAATCCCATGACTGGGATGACATTTGGCGTGATAATCAAGACACAATTTAATTGGATGGTTTTAAATTACACTAGACTGAATGGCGATTTATAGAACAAGTGGTCCTATTGTGATTTTTAGGCTTCAATTTAAAGTCTTAAAAGAAAGTAGTCAATTTAGTCACCAGCCAGTGAAAATAGTTCTTCTGTTAGAGTGCTAACATGAAAATTTAAATAAAAAATAGCGGATCAACGTACCGGTAAGGCAAAAATGTACGATACTTTTCTGATAACAAACACTTGTAAGCATCGTCAGCTGATCGATTGAGATAAATAATCTGGTAGCATCCGACGAGAAAGGCTGCATTTGTGCGTTTTTTCGGCTCTGAGGAGGCACAATGTACAATCCTATTCTTGGATAGCGATGACGTCTAACACGGCGATAGCAAATTTTTCAATTGAGGACTCACCTTGAGCTTCTTATTCACCTTTCGACAGTAGCGATAAATCTGAGCGAGATTAAATGGCCCAAAGTCGGAATAGAAGCTTGTAATGACATGAACACAGCAAATTATTCACTAACTTTTCGTAGATGAGTTCCTCGTCAATTGAAAATATGTGAACATTCAGAGAAGATGGAGGTACTACATTGTTGATTGCAAAGTAAAATCGGTCTGGAAAAGAAGCATGAATGATTACCTTGACACAACAAATCTAACTTTACTTAAATTAAAATGCCCTTGTCAGCTAAATTGGGCCTATGTAATTGGAGATTAAAGAAAGAGAAAGCTCACAACACTTTAGCCTTAAATACAACACGGATTTAATAGAAAATAGATGATCCAAATCAAATGTTGGTAACAATTTGTCTTTAAAAGTTACTAGCAAAAAATTTATTCCTCATGATGTAAGCTACATGTACTACCGAAGAAAAGAACAAACCACTTGGTAAAAGAAATATAACACACAGACGTGAAATTCACCATTATTTTAAGGTGAGAAAATGATCCTAATGAGCTTAAATTAAAATTAATTGAGCCATAAACTCAAAAGGTCACAACTCTACAGATCAGAGTAGCATAATGATAAAAATCCGAGCATGTTTAGGACAAAATGGACTACTATTGATGAAACAAATTTTCCTTGGTTATTCTGAGCATCTCAAGTAATTGTTCTACAAATACCTAATCAAGTTGCATAAATAAACAAACAAAATAGTAAAGACTCAATATCCACACAAAATGTCTAAAAAGTGCCCTTTAGACAGATTAAAATGCATAGTCTTCTACCTTTTTTCGGCTAAAAAACTGCATCACGCTAATAAAATGATTTGCTTTTTAACACTGCTAGATAAACGCAAATTGTAAGACTAATCACATTCAATTAGAAAACATCAAGTTATAAAGAGAAAATAATTCGTCAAGCAAAAACATTAGAAAAAAAATTTGCACATACCCTACTAAAATCTATAGCTTACCTCTAATTATACAGGAAAGTACTTCAAAATTGCCCAAACCATGCTCGTTTACCCTGTCTTTACTTTTCATCAATTAAGAGCAAAAATCGTGAATGGGCGTACAGGTCAGCCAACAATTAAATCAACGTTGCTATTAGTTACTAAGGTTATCATGGACAGCTAAAACAAAATCCAACCAAATACTTTTTAATGCTATTTTGTCATGTTTACACTTATTTTAATCAAAACGGTTTAAAATTATGCTTATAACAAGTTTAAAAAATTTAAGGAGACAAAATAAATGTTCCCATTATGTCCAAAATTATTCGTCATGTAAAAAAATATAATGCCTAGCACAACACTTTATTGAGGCAGCCCGAGAAATTTGTTTGTTAGCGTAGACATATAAGTTCTCACGTTGTGCTCCATAACTTTCTTGCACTTCATGATGCCTAAAAGGGCTATTACTAATAGAATTAATGAAATGGAATTAATGAAGGCTTAATAATACAATAATCGCAACCCAATAGAAAATATAGGATCAATTATTCGAAATAACCATCATAGCAAATAGTTTTCTGTAAAAACATTAAATGGTATTTCATACAAATTATCGATATCTATTGCGCTCTGCGAAGCCCTGTGTTTGCAAAGTTAATAAAATGGTTAATTCACTTGGCTGAATTTCTTCCTTAAAAGAAGATAAAATTATCTAGATCAAACCTTGATAACTCAAGTATTAAGTGAAAATTGCAGTCGCATTTATCCACTTTTCACAAATATGATGCTAATTAGTATTTTCATGCTAAGACAATATTCGATGAGACATTACCAAATTTGTATTGTGTGGGTGACAAGAAACGTCAAAAACCTTTTTTTGAGTCACTCGCATTTGTAATTTCTATTGAATTAAATTATCTTTTTTTCTGTGTGCATTAAGGCCTCCTTTATAATGTAATATTTTCGACGAATCAATGATTCGCCAACCGTTGTATGCAGTTTCGGACTTTTTTTCGCAAGTGTGCGGTAAATTTTAATAAAATAAAATTATTTTATTTTCGTTTTTTTAATGCTACGCGCTTATGGTAAAAATTACAGCATTCATTTTCGATTGTCTCCTTAACATGTTTATGATTCGAAAAACCCGCCTCCCTACCTCATTGGTCTTCTTAATAACTCGCTAACCTCGCTGCCTTCTTGGATAAAATAGCCCGAGTATACACGAGATGGATACTGTATGCTAAATTATAGTTATTTATTGAATTAATAGGGTGGACTACCTACTAGATTCCATAGAAAAAAAGTCTTGCAGTTTTCGCGCAAGGCCAAATTTGCCTCACAACAAGTGTCTAAAGTCACCTCCATTCAACCTGAGCGTGCAGGGTAAGCTACCATCACTGGTTTGCCACATTTTTCAGTTTTATCGAAAAAGAGGACGATGAAGTAATAACGCAAGATGTTATTCGCCAGCATGTTGACTTGGGATCGGCTACTAAGGTAATACTGGGCCAATACCTATTTAGTTTTGTAGCAATTTGAACTATCGCTTAACTCGGGTCCCTATTCTATCAATTATTCGCGAAGTGGAAGGTTGGCTTAGTGTTATAATCGAAACACCACTCTTAGGTATTTGGCAATGTGTGGCAGGCGTGGTCATGTGGCTGCCTTCGACTGGATGACTAAACGTCTCATGTTCGAGATTAATGTGAATGAGGAATGTCGTGACGTGAAGTAGGTTAGCTGTCTCGTGTTACATTCTCCTCTAGGTTCCTTCACCAGGAAACCTTTGTTGCAGTTGCCCAGAAAGGTTACACCTACGTCTATGACAACCAGGGCATTGAACTTCACTGCCTTAAACGATTGGCTGGCATACGGAGGCTGGAGTTTTTACCATATCACTTCATTCTGGCTGCACTGGTTGGTGATATCTTTTACTTACCTCTGTTTAGGCAGACAATGGTTTCATTTATTACCTAGATTCTTCAGTCGGTGAAGTTGTGGCCTCATATCCCACCTTTATGGGTTCCTTAAACGTTGCCTGCCAGAACCCCAGCAATGCCGCAATCCTCACTGGTCACGCCAGTGGTGCTGCATCTATGTGGATACCTACGGAGAAGAATCCTGTTGTAAAGATCCTCTGTCACAATTCAGGAGTTCGGTCCCTCAGTGTCCATCGTTCGGGACTGTACGTTTATCCGAATCGCTTGCTCATTCGCTACTGAATTTTCATATCTAACCAGACACACGCCAACTTTTGTAGGTATTTAGCATCCTGTGGTCTAGATAGAAGTCTGAAAATCTGGGATTTAAGGTCCACGTACAACTGTCTTGCCACAATCACCCTTCCAACGCCTGCTATTTCACTGAATTACAGTCAGATGGGTTTGTTGGCACTTGGCTCATCTACTACCGTTCAGGTAAGTGAAGCTTACAACTGTCCGACACATTTACTCAAATTTTAATGCACCTGCGATGGTATTTGTCGAGCTTGTTGTCAGTATCCTGCCTTATTTGAATACTTTGGTCATCTGTTAGCTACGTTCCAGGCTGGTGCTCCTCGGCCGGATCTGGAAAGTTTTCTTAGGCGATCGCGCGGCTGATCTTGCTCACATTTAGACCAGACACCGAGTTTAAGGTCACCACCCCTGACGCAGCCATTCGTTTGGCATTTTTCAACAGGTAATCATTTGACGTCTTCCTCATGTGACAGATTCTAAAGGACCCTTCAAATGCGGGCGAATTCGATGAAGTGCAGCACGTTGACGTCGAGGCAGGCACAGTTCACCGGCGAGTGCTCAAGTCGGCCTACCTCACGCACAACTGTGCGCGTCCTGTGCACTGCGTTCAGTTCTGTCCCTATGAGGACGTGCTTGGTGTTGGCACGGCAGGCGGCTTTCACTCACTCCTCTGTCCTGGCAGCGCGGAGCCCAACTACGATGCCCTCGAGGAGAATCCGTTTGCCAGCAAGCGGTACCGACAAGAACGGGAAGTCAAACGGCTTTTAGACAAGGCGAGTCTTTTCGGCCAGCGTTCGATATTTGTGCTTTATTTCAACTGTAAGATGTTCCAGTATTTGTGCAGCAAGGACATTATACTCCCTACACCCGGTTGCCACAAAAAAAACAACAGAAACATATGCAAACATAAGTTTTGTAGGTTGTAATAGCTAAATAATTCTGATTTTCTTTTAAGAACGGACTTCGATTTTAATGTGGGTTCCTGTTAATACAATTAAGGAGAGAAGGTTTTGCCCTATTCGATGTTCCCTTAATTGGAACGTTTGCACAAAAGTGATCGCTTAATTTGCCAACATTGTTTATTTTTTTAGATACCCTACACTATGATATCCGTAGATTCAATCGTAAACAAGGTCCGAAGAGAGGACATTGTGGAAGAATGGGAGAAAAAGCGAAATGCCTTGGTATGGCTCAATATGGACTGCCTTTTTATTGCTTGCAAATAGGATGTGCCGACTTATTATTCTTTTCGATTGGTTTAGTTAGGCGAGATACCCAAGGTTCCCATGCCTTCCGTGAAAAGGAACAAGAAGAAGGGACGGTCCAAGGCCACAAAGGTCGAGAAGAGGAAACAGCTGGTCAGATTTAACCGGAAGCAATTCGAAGTGTCGAATATGCTTCGCAAAAAGGTAGCTCGAAAGGAAAAGGCCAAGAAAGTTGAAGGTGGCGCCCTACCAAGTGATGCCCTCGTTAGTAAGAAGAGGACTAAGAAGCGGACGATGTCTGCATTGGATATCCTTATTCCCAAAAAACATTAGCTATTTGATACCGATTCTGTATACATGAATTTATTAATTGTGCACAATATTTTCTTCACTCACAATGGGTGCTTAGTGCAAACCCAGTTGAATTGTCGAGGGTCCAGTCGTGTTGGTTGTTTCACGTCTGTCCAATTACATTGGCAGCAAAATGCTCGGGAACCTGAAAAGACACCGTTAGTGGGTTTCCACTTATAAGTTGGTGTGATATTTATCTGGCCTACTTTTGCAGATTGCAAGGTTGCAACGGAGTTTGGAGAAGTTCGGATAGTTGTTCCGCAGAAACATGTAGTCTGTTGACTTTTTCCATTTATAGCCACTGAACGTGGCTACGTCGTGATCGCATTCAAGACATCGCAGCTTGTCACATGACCTGTAAATTCACTAGGTGGCATTAGTAACTTTCATACTTAAAATCGTTGGTTGATGTAAGTCCCTGTGGCGTACTAGAGCCGCCAATATAGAGGGGCGTACACCTACGGTCGTCAAAGATTAAGTATTATAATTACCTCAAGATTCCAGGAGCGTGGTACCGCTCTTGAACATCTTTGTCTTGGAATTCACACGTGTCCGCCTACGAATAAAATTACTAGAAAATGAACTTCGTCCATATCTGCTAATTCCTTTTCAAGCAAGGCAAGCATTTCATCAACATCCCCACTTCGCCTTTAAGTTCATGTCACTGTTTTCCTTACTTGGCCTCAGTAGAAAAGATGTCACTGTTAGGGTCACCCATTTGTCCTAGAAGGATAATCAGATTTCGCGGGGCAAGTATTGAACAGTTGGCCTTGACAAAATGGAAAAGTTTTGTAATTTCGCATCTATTTTAGAATTTGTGCTTCTAACTATATTCGGCAGTAATCGTACGCAAAAAGCTTATAATGTGTATGAGAAATTTTCAGTGTAAGAGTTTTGCAAAACACTCCTTCAAGGTCATTTCTGAAATGTACCTTTGGCATTGGCTAAACTTGGACCAATTGAATCAATAGTGTTGACAACATGGCAAATTAAGGTCCACTTCGTTTTACGCGGAGTTTCATGAGGCATCAGAAACATAGCAATTACAGTCTAAAACCCATTAAAACACTGAACATGGCATACACTAAAAGTTAATTTTAACTTGTGCGTAGCATAAATATATCCGATTTTCACAAATATTTCTGGCGAAAATTGCGAGATGTTTTTCAGTAATTTCAAATAGGTTATTCCACATGGTCGCGGCTATTGTAATTAAATAGGTAAGTGTTTTAAAGGAATTTTGCCTTCAAAATTTCTCGAATGTCTACTACGAATTCATTACATTTCCAGTTTGTTCACTATAAGATGTTTCTCTTTTTTATGTTTTTTTATTTTTTCAAGGAATTTTAACAATAACATTTATCAAGATTTTTTGCACAAGATATAAAGGAATCCACTGTGCTCCGCTATGAAAATAAATGCAATTTATACGTGTGATTATATGGGATCACATTCAGGTTAAATTCTTAAGGATTAGTGATAACGGGTGTGTACTTCGTATGTTTTTTTATTTTAAAGGGCAAAAATCTTTGCTGTCACCATAAATGCTCATCAGTTCAATCAGAATAATTTAATTCACACGAACTCTTGAGGCTTTGAAGATCAGTGAAAAAAATTTCGGAAAAAATATGTCTGAATCTTAAAAAAATAAGCAAAATTATATATTTAAAAAAAAATTATGCTTGAGGGAGGCCTTAAGATAGGAGCTTGTTAATCTTATTTTATATCATAGTTTAATTAAAATTCAAAACCCTAACAGTGACATAGGAAATACAAATATCGTTTTCAAATCGTTATCGATTTATAGGGTACGATTAACTAATATGAGAAGGATCATAATCAATTTGTACTGTCAGTTATGCTTGCTTCGCAACATCAAAGTGATTCCGAAAAAAAATGTTATATAGTTTACTTCAATAGCAGTGCTGCCGTGACAGCTTTAGCAAAAACGAGTACCTACAAGCAAGTTCTACCTTTAAAACTTTTTCGTTATTTCAATCGACACAGACTAAATAAAATGAGACGCACCCTTTCTGCGATATCAGCGATGACCGGTAAATGTCGTCCGTTAAAGCAGTGTTTTATGTGATTTTGCATGTTGATTATGGAGATGAAATCAAATTAAGTATTTCAGCGACAGCATCTAGCGATATGCGATGTCTTTATAAGCATATGTAGTAGGAATTTCCGGCAATATGGGCTTGAATTCGCGAGCTATGCATCAGACAAGTGATATTGTCCACTCGGTCAAACTGCACCCCCCAGCAGGGCAACAGAACTACCCCTCCAACAACCTCTCACCGCGGCTAAGAAACGAATCACATATGTACTAAAAATATATTTAAAATGCTTTTTTGAAGTAGCTGGTCACGTACTTCCCACACACACACACAAACACATGGATGGCACATGAGGAGGTTAGTATGCAAGCGAGGCTCATACAGCGGGGGTGAGAGATGCCACGGCCTCGTGAAGCCGCAGTTGTCTCCCATGGGTTTCAAACAAGTTCGCCACCATTCCGGCCGACTTGTTAACCAGACGCTCTGCGACACCGTAGTAATCACGACCCAATTCAGCTATGCTCTGCACAGCAAGATTCAGCTCAGCCTCGGTCCACTCAGGATTCTACCAAAAATAAATAAAAAATGCCTCTTAAATTGTCATCAGCCTTTTTTTTTAATAAAAAATGTCCCCTTTCGCGACGTAATACTCAAGTGGCAAAAATTGCAGTAAAATTACGAAATTCAGATTTGTGTGCATTCCTACCTTTCGACAGCCCACGCGATCACGTATTAACCAATCAAAAGGCACGCATAGTCAACACATTCGAGCGTAATGTCACTCGCATCAATAGGCTGGCTGGACGGCACTTAGAAATCACAACGAAATCACCAAAATGACAGCACAAAGCAGCAGCCCCAAAGTCAAGAGATAGATAGATAGATAGAAAATCAGGCAATTCCCTTCAGCCAATAGCGTCAACAGGCAACTATGCTTTGGCACATAGCCAAACCAGGACATACTGACTACAGGCAGGACTTGCACGGAGGAATTGCGCGAGCAGCAAAAACGCCAAGCACGTGCATCCAGCAGCTGTGACGCTACGCTGCGATTGCGCAACACAAAGAACAAAAAAAGGCAAAAAGAAATTACGCTCAAACACGCAGTTTATCGCTGTGCTGGCTACAAGTAGACGCTGAGTTGCTAGAAAGCAATACAAAAGGGCGAGCAGGCAAAAAGGCATCGGACATCGAGGTGCCTTACCGGCGACAGCTGTGGCGGCCGCATTTTCAAGATGTCGCTGACCAAGACGGATTCCATGTCTTGGAGGTCCTGAAAAAATCGTAAACGAAAGGTGACCGAGCGAACACCTTTTCCCAGGGGGGGGGGGCAGGGAGGGAGTGTGTATCAGTGTGGAGTGGCTCGTCTCCAAGGCTCCTAAAGCAGTGGGAAACCAACAAGCACTTTAGTGTTGCGCCCAAGGAGGCAGCAGCTCCCCTAAATACAGCCGCAAAACAGTAGTAGGAATGGATAGGAGATAACCACACAGAGCTATAAATTAGAGCACTATGATGTCGACAGCGTAGCAAGTAAACTCGAATGCGGTTAACACCCACGCAGCGCTGTGGTTTCTGCCAGGCTCACAACTCAAACCCCGTGATGAATCCCTTTAACAACGCATCCTCCTTCTTATGAATAACCTCATTAAAATGGGTGCAAATTGAGCAAAGTGGTTAATGTCGTGGAGGTCAAAGGTTCGCATCACCGGATTGTAACATCGAAACTACGGATTTCCACAGCCACGACTCGCCCGCTTTGACGAAAAAGGTCATTTTTGTGTTCTCTGCCTGTCGAAATTGTGGTCTCAAGGTGAATTTCAGCAAGCAAAGTTGCTGCATTGCAGTCGATCGAAAGAAATGATAATTTGAAACCGAATTTCATTCTAAGAATCATCTTTTATTGTCGTTTACAGAGCACATTCGAGGCATTTAAACGGAGTCCCAATAAAATCCACAATTTGCACACGATAGCACTACGTTGTTTACACACGCGGGGTAGATTCCCGATAAAGTGTTATTTGCACAAACTGAAATTTGTTGTACAAGATTTCAATAACGCAACACCTCGCAAACGATCAAGCGTCTTTGTTCACACAGACGTGGGAGATTTCGGAAAAAAGTAGAGGCTCCCGTAGTTAATAATCAAGCAAATAACCAGAGCTAAGTAATCTTAGTGGGTTCCGCAAAAAGCAGACTACGGCTATGTTATCATTTTTAAGTTGTGAACACGGTTAAAAAGGCACACATCACAAGGTGAGAAAGCACGAAGACAAGACGGATTTCATCGGTACTTCCACGCAATTCAGCATTAGAGGTGAGATATTAAATGTGGACACTAATGACACCCACACAAGATCTTGTTTGCAAAGGAGTTAGTCCGTTCAACTTCTCCTGCTACGGAGAATACGGTCAGTTCTTTTCTGTTTCAATGGCACACGTGATCAGAATCAATGCACATTTGATTTTATCAACATTATTACGACCGACTCAAACAGGAAATGCAGCGACATTGCTATGTATAAAATGCTAATTTACTTTGGAGCATGGCCAAACAAGCTAGCATGGCAACCAAGCACGACTTTTCGACAGCTGGCGGTAAGTTAGTTGGAGCGTATTTGGGGAGAACTTCGATAAAGACGAGTTACTGCATAAACTGGAATGTTCTGGAGAATTTGCGGGTGAATGCGGCCCGCACGAAACTACATCGCCTTACGTAACTGCCACAACGTCTTAAACCTTTAACTGGTCGCTGCCGGCCATTTTTGGGAAAGCCAGCTGCAACTTGCAAAGTGTGTCTTAAGCAGGGTAGGGACAAACCATTCCGCTCCAAAGAGGGGTGCTGTTAGAGGAACTACCACTGGCACTCGCAATAGCTAACAGTAACAGCCACGACTTAGTTCACGATAAATACAACCCATCGTCATGGCAAGCGTCAAGAACTACGCTGCCTTGACTTACCGACTACGACCCGAAATGCGCTCGTGGAAACCCCGTTGGCAAAGAGCCCAACGACTCGTCAAGAGGATAGATCAGATGGGGCATAGCTGCGACCTACACTTTTCGCGTTGAAACCAGATTCCGCAGACAACCGACACATTTCAGTCTTCCGTCAGACTAAAACCAGCGCATGATTTGGGAAAGGAGGGGGGAGGGGGGGGTGGAAGCAATGAACACGGAGACAGTCTGGGCGACTCACCTCAGCCGACTGAGAGTCCTGAGCTTCCATCTGACCAGCGCAGTCGCCGTCTTCGGTTGCCACCGGGGGGTTGGCGTCTTGCGGCACCTCGAGGCTCGGCGTCGGTTGGCGGCGAGGGTGGGTTTCGTTCGGCTCCACGGCTGTCGAGGAGAACGTGGGAATGTTATCGATTGTTGTGATTAGATTGACGGACACTCGTTTCCTCTGACTGGCCCTTTGGGGCGGCTTCTGATCAGGGCCTGTGATGGCGATTTGACTGTGAGGCAGGAGACTACTCCAGCGAAAGTAAAAAGGTGTGAGAAAGTGTGCTAGTGGGTGCGAAAGTAAAATCACTAAGTGCTTTCTATTCGCACTCGGCCCATGTTCGGAGGCGCGACTATACACCCAGCGCAATGCATGTGATAATGGTCGCGTTTAATGCTATCCAAAAACCAACTGCATGCACGTGACTTTTGCGTGAACGAGGCCAATCTATGAACATATTCGCAAGCCAGATAAAAAACAAAGGAACACACCTGAGAGATTTACTGTTTAAAGCAGACTGCACAATGCCGCGTTTTCGGCTGAACCTGGAATATCGTTTGGGGGGAAACTGCCTCTTTTCATTCTCCTCATCCTCAGAATCATCGACTTTCCGGAGGCGTTTGGCACTTCGTTTTTTGGCGTTATCTGGCTCAGAGGAAGATGAGCTAGCAGAGGTATGTTGGGGATCTCTGGCCATGGCCTTAGACATCGTCACCAACTCGGCCTCAATCCTGGTTTGGACTTTGGACGTTGAAGTGCACACAGAGGCATGTGAGGGCAAACCACCGTGGGTTACCATGGTGCCGAGGGAATCAATTCGCACCTGATGATTGGATAGCGGTGCCGACGAGGGAACATCACCCGCGCCATGCTGGTTGGCGCTACCACCACCACGTTGTCGTCCGCGTTTCCTGAGGCGCCTAACCGACGTGGTCTTTGTGGTTGTGCTTGATGCATTGCTAGTCTGATTGCTACCCACCTCATCGGCGTCATCGACTTCCTCTGGCTGAACGATAACCGATGAGGATGTTGATGCAGAGTTGGGAAGGTGTTGGGTGAATCCACTCAAATCCTCTATGTAGCGGGCGATGGCACTTTCGATCGGATCGGACAAATCAACGACATCACTCGGCGACTACATACAAAAAAGGGATGCCATCATCACCATCATCTTTGTAGACGCTCTATCCGAGCTAATGTGTGCAGGCGCAAAATTTGTCAACGAATCGTATCAATCTTGTGGATGTTTAGGTCTTAAAAATTTTCCTTCGGCAATATGGACGGCATTTCAAAGTAAATTAATATATGATTTTCAAATTTTTGTTAGGATTTAAAGTGAAACATAATAGAATGACGTTTGTAATTGAGTTATAAACCAATCAATATCTGACGGTGACCTCGACGTCTGTCTCCAAATCAACTATATACATTCAAGTCCAGGTGACTCAGGACGCATATTCATGAATGGCATAAAGAATACTAATTAGGAGAAAAGTAACACGTACTTGCTCATTTGGTCCTAGCAGATCCTTCAGGGTTAATTGATCCTCGATGCACTGAAGAGAATATTTACTCTTTAAGAATCCATTAGCATGAAGAGCCGCCCACTGAGGTCCGTGCAGAGTGAGTTCATAGAGCGTCTGTTGATTTCGCTTGTTTAAGTAGTAGAAGAGCACCAATTCGGTTGTCCGGCGTCTTGGGAAGAGTTTTTTAACCTTATGGAACTGTTTGCAATAGAAGTCCATCGCAGCAAAGAAAACGCGTCGTTCGCGGTGGGTCCAGTCAAAACGAATAGGAGAAAAGTTGACTAAGTCCGCTGAAGCTCGTTCAAAGTTAAACTTATGCCATGTCAAGAGGGCCAACGCTTGCTCCTCTGAATAACTACAGAAGAAATATGTAATGATAGGCATTGATGAAATATACGCATACATTGCAAAAGGATCATATTACAACCCACCACGGGCCTTATATTCAATATTAAAAATACTGTTTAGGTAAATTGAATTACCAGTGTTGCGTCGTTGCAACATCAAGATAGTTCTTCAATTCTTCGTCATCTGTGCGAGGAAGAGGCCGCCAATGCAACGTCTCGCGATCCGGAGTCGCCGCAAGAGCCTCTTCCACTCTTTCCTCGAGGGGAGGTAACACTGCTTGATATGAACCGCCAACGCGAATAACAGCATCTCAAAAGAGCAAAAGAAAAATCTGAAAAAGAATTTACATGCACGATCAGAACGACGGGCATAACACATAAATCTCGTAAAAATTTGTACTACTCTCAGGTAAAAAAACCACAGTTAATCACACAACAACACGGAGACGCAATAGCTTAAAGTGGCCGCTTCGGGTAACAATGCGATACATATTTAAAATGATCTGATAAATGACAACGTAATAAACTGTTACGAGCTTAAGTAACACAGAATATCGTTAGGCATACTCTCAAAAGCGTTCTGAACTATATCCGTGATATCCTCACTAAGCCGCCCCCTGGTAAGCATTTCCCAAAATGTGACTAGCACAAAGACAGAGGTTTGAATAGTTCAACTATCATTGGCCCACAGGTAATGGCGAGAGATTAGTGGTTCGCACGAAGCATTCAAACAACGTTTAAGTAAAAAAATGCAGCAGCTTATTTAAGATGTGCAAAATAATTGTCCGCAGAATATCAAAAAACTACTTTTTGTAATTAGTGCCATGGCGTCAAGCAGTTTAAATTAATTATGTGTATCTATTAGAATTGTTAAATCTATTTGAAGATTCAATATCTAATACTTAAAAAACTTTTTTAAACGAGTCTAAACAGGTGACTACATTAAAAATGGTTTCGAGCTAAGGCTAAAGGCTGACTTCTACGTGAATACAACGGTCATTTATATTGAGATCAATAGATTTGTCTGAATGCATGGCCATATTAACTTTTTAAAAATTTATTTGCAAGGATTTGTGGCACCCGTAGTCAGTGATTATTATAGTGATAAATTTACTTGCGCTTTGAATTGTATCATGCTGATTTCTAAGATTTATTTTTAGGGATGTTGTGGCTAAATTGTAGATTAAGCTGGTGCAATGATGAATGAAATAAGTATAATTTAAAACCAATGGCAATGTCAAGAAGATCTGCTTAGAAAATATGCATTTGTAATGCGAACTTAAAACTTAGTGTTCATTATTTATGCGAAGCACATGGACTTTCGCGAATGTACCAAATAACCTTGCTTAACTTTTTTAAATCAGTAAAAATATATTATTTGCCACGTCATGTGATCTTGAAACATGGCAGGTCCACTGAGTCAAATCTGCAGTGTTTGCGCTACCCTGCTATACGCGATGAACATTGACACCATGCAATGAAAATAGAAAAATTTTGTCAAAAAATGGAACGACCGGATTAAGAAGTGTGAATTAACGTGAGTTATGCCAAAAATACATTTGTCGACCTAAAATGTACACTGTCTTCATATGTGCCTACTCTGCACATTTTAATCACAGATTTCCGATTTTTCTTGTTGTAAAACTGAATACACAAAAAATTTTTAGGCATGTGATAAAACATACATTTTTGCCTTTTTTACAAGTCAAAATTAAATCAGAATGTTGCGGCAATCGTTAAGCTAGCTTCCAGAGTTTCCTTATTCAAATTTTAGACAAATTACATGTAGTTAATTAGTTTCTGAACAATATCGATCAAAGTATGTTAGATAACGCTGCAGTTTAATCTTCGCCAATTTTTTTAACGCTACTGAAGATGACAAATTATGTTGAATTTTTGAGCACTCAGTTGATACTATGAGGCATGCAGTCACTAAATTATTGCCTTATACATAATCATATCCTGCTGAAATTGCTCTAATGTCAAACCTAACATGTTTCCAATTACTTAATGAGATATGCACATTGGTAATAGGGTCCTAACGGCATGCTAAAGTCAATGCCTGAATCTTTGTTTTGAGGAAAGTGAGCTTTGAAATCCTTTGCCTATATCATATTCTCCTAAAATGGAAATTGTGCTTTGAAGTCAAGGTTTTCATTCGGTTACGGGTCAGCACATGAAACTACCTTTTATACAATCAAACCTTATTTCTTAGTCATAAATTGCATTTTTCAGTGGACTTCAGCGAGTGTGCTTAGAATTTGGGTCCCTCCATTTCAACAGAAATGCCATTAAAATTATGGAGTTCTAGGTATTTAATGCAACATCCCAAATGAAAAATTATTGCAGTTTGTAAGACTGCACGCTTAAATGCCTATCGTTCCATGTGTTATTGCCTCTTCGTTCATCAATTTAAAAAGTTGGGCACTCTCTTTTGAATTTTGGGCCATGGATTTCTCGTGTTTTAGGCATTAACTTCAATTCGTGCTGTATTTCAACTTTGAGTAGTTTTTTTGTTAACAACATTATTGCATAATAATTTAACCACGTCGTGCACAGACAAATATTTGCGTTTGAGTCATGTTGCCAGATTCGGCCTAAATGTTTTACTGTGCCGATGAAAAGTTTATAGAAACCTCCTCAACATTTAAATGTCATCTATGTCTGTTTCGAGCGAACAGATTAGCGATCCTGGTGAGGATGGTCTGCAGACTGGAATTGATGCGCATTTAGAATCAAACGAGGATTTTAACTCGAGGATTGATCGCATTATTAACAATGCCGCTGCTTTTGAGACATCTTTATCTCCAGACGAAGCTGTCGATTCCTCTTTACTTATAGCAGAAAGCATGACGAACCCTAATGCAAACTGTGAACCTGCGGAAAGAGATCAAGATGAAAATGATACGACAGAGCTTGTTGTTCTTCATCCTGACCATGTACCGCTGCGTTTTCGCTGTTTATTCCTTTATTAGCCTTTGATGAAAAGATTTCAAGATGCGCTTACAAAAATGTTAAAAGAACACATTTCAAAAGCAGCACTTGAACTCCGTACAAAGGTATAATGTTTTTTTTTAAATAATTTAAAAGACTGAAGAACTAAAGCATGAGAAAAATGCTCATTTGGAATTGGGCACTGCATTGTTTGATGCTCAACAGGGACTGTCGAAGTTTCAGGGTCAACTTCAGAAAAAACATGAGGAAAATTTGGAAAGACAAGCTCGCCGAGAGAAAATTGACAAGGAGTTGGTAGTTCTTCGTAAGCAGCTAAAGAAGGCCCAAGTCGATTATGATCTGGAATACAAGAAAATGACTGCAATGCGGGAGGAAGTAGACAACCTTGCGTTGCGCCTTTATTACCTAAACAACGCCAAAATTGAAGTGAAAAGTGACATAACCATCATGCAGAGAGCCGCCGAAAAGGCCTCGTCAGAACTCTCAAAGGTTATTAATTTCAAATCCATCTACTTATGCCCTTGACATTTTTGTATTTATACGGGGTTTCGATTTATCCATAATCCTCAGTTATGTCCGTTTTAATCCACAATGCGCATACTGGTGTAGCTATATGAGATGAATGTAATGTGTGATATCATTTACCATACATTTTTCTTTTTTTACAAGTCAGGTGTAGATATGAGCTTTTTCATTGGATCTCTACGATTTAAACGCTCATAGCGCCTGCTTAGTGAACAATAGACCGATATGTCATATCTTGCGTTTATGGTCATAGTCCATAGTCACTCATTCTTGACTGTTTATTTCTGCAAATTCATACAGGCGGAGCAAGAAAAATTGCAACAAGATATGTTGGCTCATCGAATGCAGCGTACAGTTGATAAGTTGACCGAGGATTGTGAATTACTTAAGGAGCAACTGGCTGCAGCAGAGGACGAAGTCAGGGCGGGTGAAAGCATTCTCAAAGATATGGAGAACCAAGTTTTTGGCATCAGAATGGATCGGAAACGTCTGATGGCTCACTGGACGACCAGCTTGATTGGACTGCAACGCAGAAACGAGGCCTATTCGGAACTTATGAGGGACTTCAAGTAGGCCGATAGATAATTCACTCAGTTAAATTTCCAAAGCAATTTTTGTGTGTTAAACGCTGAGTGGTGGGTCTGTCTTTGAATCACAGGTACGAAAGCTGTTAATTTATTAACCAACAATTAGATTAAACACTTTCTTTGATCAGAGCCTAAAATAAGACTGCGTGTTTTTTGTAATTTATTGACCGAATTCTCTGTCGATTTGACGGAAATTGAATCATCTACTGTGTATTTGGATTAATCTTCAGGTTCTTAAATATTCCTTTCTAGGGAGCTATTCTTCTTTCTTTAGTAAAAAGCAGGAAGAGTTGACTAAGGTGTCGTCTGAAATTGAGGGCATCAAAAGAGACATCACTTTGGAGCAGGAAGCGCATGAACGACTAACAATACAACTTCACCGCACCCAGGGAGAGATCGATGCCCTGAATAAGGAACACGAACGTCTCAAAACTCGACACGATGAACTTCAAAAGGATTATACTCAAGCACAACGCATCATGGACGAGACAGATAAGAACTTAGACAGTGCTAATGCGGTACGTTTGTTTGTGCTTTACGCTTGCCCCACAATGTACTGGTTTTTGCATTGAGAAAGACTCGTGACCAGCGAGGTCCCACGGTCTTTGCACTTACAGACACAAAAAAGCCTCGACAACGAGATGGATTTGCTGCAGAAACGTCTCGAGAAGGAGCTAACCAAGAAACATGAACTCGAAAACCAAATGGACCTTTTGTTGCGCGAAAAATTATCCGCTAACAAAGCCACAATCTACGTCAAGAAAATGGCCGCCAATGTTCACGAACAAAGTCGTGATCTTGAGGCCCAGGTGCGTCTAAACTGGAGCTTCTCTGTCGAAAATCAATGCCACTCGCATCGTTTGAGTTGGCCTCTTATTGTAGGCGGTTATCTTGGAAAACACATTGGCCAATGACTCTCTCGCGGTAGCTCAAATTCAAGCAGAGACGCGCGCCATGCAGGAACAAGCGCAGGAACTAGACAAAGAGATCCAGAAACGCACCGAAACCCTCACTAAACTCCAGCTGAACATCAAACGCGCCAACGCCACTGTCCTGCGCAAGCAGAACAGCATTGACATGCTCGGCCAGAAGTTGCAACGCCTTCTCAAGGAGAGCGGGGTAGGTTCACTTGCTGTTTCTTGTGGCTATTCTGTTAGTTTTGTCTGTGTAACGACATTCAGAATTGTTTCCCCCCAGGGTGTCGAATTGGGTCCGCTGGAGATCATGCGGAACCACTTGGTGAAGGGAATCGCCGCGAAGCAGGAGGAGATCGGGAACCTGGAACAGCAGTGGCTCAAGGAACAAACGGATTTGATGAACAAAGTGAAGGAAAAGGAGAAGTTGGGCGAGGACATAGCCCGGCAGCAGTGCTGTCTTTCGGTCCTGGCAAAGAAGAAACTTCGACTAGATTGTAACGTTATTTTCCAAGCATCCCTTTTCCATATCTATATATTAGTCTAATGTGAGCCTCTCCTATTGGTAATACTTTGACGGGCACTCGCCCTACAAAAGGATGGTGTGTCCACATTGATTGGTTTCAATTTGTGCACATTCAGCTGAGATAAACACAATCGAGCGAGAGAGGACCAATCTAGAACGCGACGTGGTTCACCTACAGAATAGCATGGCGCGCTTGAACAAGAGCATCTACACGAAGCGCTCCAGTGGGACGGCCCTCGAGCAGGAGAATCGGCTGGCCGAGGAGGACTTTGTCCGATCCATACGCGAAAAGGAGATGCAGGCTGTGGAGGCAGAAGGTCGCCTCAAGGAGGCCATCCAGGAGAAGGAGGATCTGTTAGCTGAGCTGATTGAAACAGAGTAAGTTCAACCTTCTTCACTACGACGATATCACGACCGCCTCGGTGTAAGTGCTAAGCCCTAACTGTTGCTACCGCTTTCCAATCCTTTTAGACGCCACATAATGCTGTGGGAGAAGAAGGTGCAGCTGGTCAATGAGACACGACATGCCGTCGATTCAGCTGTTGGCAAGAACGAGCTGAGAGCCATCCGCATCGAGATCCAGCGCATGGAAACTCGCAAAGCCCAGATCGCACGTCAACAAGAACAGCTTATCCAGGCGCTGGAACAGTCCGTTCAAAAGTACGTTCAAGCCCAACTCGGGCTATGCAACGAAAGTTGGATGTGTCAACATGTATTCTTAAATGGGGGGCTCACCCTTTAGAAAAACACCTAGCAAATCACCATTAAAGCCGTCTCTCGTGGTGGACTTTGGAAGCCAGCTAATCACTTTGCTTTTTTTTTTAGGCGGGACACAATTATAACTCGAAACGAAAATGCAAAGGTTGTAAAGGCAAGGCAGGAGTCGAGCAAAACCGCACTGCTTCGGGAAATTGAGGACCTTCGTTCTAAGATTGGCGCCACTGAGAAGGCATGCGCATGCTTTCTATTTGGGTTTATCGAATTTACGAATTTGTCGACACCTGTAGATTTAATAAACCCACTTTCCGCGGTCCTTGAATGTTACAGGCGATTGTGGAGTACGACGAGGAGTCAGAAAAACTGGAGGCTGAGACCAAACGACTGGAGAAGGACTTGGAGGACAAGTACTTCGCTTGCGAGGCCGTCCGAAAGAGATCAGCCGAGTTGAACAAGCAGCTGCAAAAGTTGGCGGAGACCCGACAAAAGGTGAGTAGTGATGGTTTAACCTCTCGCTAAATTGTTGCTTAAATTTGCCTACGTCACTAAGAAAGACCCGTGTCCTACAGACCCGTTTGTCAGATTATGCAATATGTTTGGTTTCGTGCACTTGACAAACGCTATACAAACCCAACTAACATGCCTCCTCTGTCCAACCTGTCAGCATGTAGATGGTGAATAATCTGCCAACTTTTCACCTCTATAGAATTTAATAGAGCTTCAAATGCGGCAACACGCTTCACGCTACTGGGAACAACTCCTGGCCGGTAGATACCGCCGACTCTGCCCCACTAGACAAGGAGCCCAGAGCGAACGAGAACGCCAAATTGGGCGGACGCGTGCAATGCTTGCGGTGGTGGACCGACTCACCACCGAGTTTCCAGCTGTGAGCGCTCCTCTTAAGACAAGATCCGTCGCCTCACTAATGAACTACTTGTGGTCATTAATCGATTTTCGCCTCTTTTAGATCAAACAGGACCTCTCAGCTGCGTGGCAGATACTGACGGACAAGTTGGAGCAGGAAGAGCGCACAGAAATGCACGAATCGGATACCTCCGCGACGTAATGCTGAGTCTATTTACACCAAGCCTCCTGATTGGCTGCTCTGATTAAAACCTCTTAGCTCGAAATGCATGTTGTTTTATTTGGATGCACGGTTAAAAAAACCAAACATCAGTTTAAATTACAAGATTCACACAGTATCGCTGGGGTGGTAATCAAGTGTTCACGATTGGCTGTTAAATGATAGTATTCAATCCACCAATAAGATTATTTTGTGCTCAGTTATGGTCCTAATGTCCCTTTCCAACTCATCCAACTCCCTTTCGAGGCGTTCTTTCCTCTGTTTCTTGTGCAGTGTATCGATAACCACGGAAAGACGTAGGTAGTCGCCGTAGACCTGGGAGTGTCGTTTTTTCAGCGAGTCAAGCAGTTTCTAAAACTCACCTATCTGTGTTTCAAGTCCTTACCTCACGTTCCTCCATCGACAGTCGCGGAATTTCTTGTTGTCGTTCCACTTCTTCGCGGTACCGCGAGTATAGCTCTTCGGTTAGGCGTTTGTCCGTTTTCCGTTTCTCTAAATAATCCGGGGTTCGACCGAAATTCTTCTTATAAATAAACTCTTTTGTTAGGCCGGAACCCTGCAGAGGAAACTTGTCACCGTTTTTTGAATCGACGATGATGGGTGTGGGCTCAACGGCGTCCTCCAGCTGCGCACAGATCCGATTTCGCGCAACAAAGTCAACCTTAACGGCTTTATTTTCAGCCGGTTCCAGTGCTAAGTTGGGTAGCGGTGGCTTTCTACCCGAGCATATGGTTGTCTGTTTATCCGAGCTGGTAGTTTTTCGGAGGTTATGGAGTGTGTGGGATCGCAGAAAATTTTTTGGATTTGGTCGTTTATGTGCTGCTGGTCCCATTGTTCGACATTTACCAACTTTACTTTCAAGCACCTCATTCCTAACCATTGGGCTGAATGTGGATTGATACCTGATAAGTAAATACGTGCAGGCTTTTTACTCACCTTTTTCTTTTTACCTCAACTGGAGGTGTAACTGGTAGCAAGTTGTAAATTAATTCCATCTCACGATCGTCCAATTTATTGAAATTGTTGATGGGACTACAAAATAATGCCATCCTTAGCAGTCGAAAGACTTTTTCGCTTAAAGGTTTGCAGGTTTAATGCAAAGTCATATTAAACTTGTGAATTTAATTAAAGCAAATGAGCCTAAAATGTGCTTTATGCAATTCTGTGACGATCTCAACAATATTTCAACCGCAGATTATGGTCAAATTGCTGTTAGCAGATAGGTTATAATTCTAATTTTAATGGCATTAGATCAAGGTTTTGAGCCATGTGACAAGCAGCGCCTTTTAGAAATAAAGAAGGAGGCGTATAAAATTATTAAATTTCACAAATCTGTTTGCATGGCATGGTAAACAGTTCAAAAAGGTACATAAAATGATGCAACCATGACCAAAAAATTGCATTCGATTTAAACGTATGAACAATGCACAAAAGCAATACCCATAGAAAATGAAAGTATGCAATCAGCGAACTCTGCAGTGGAAGTAAAAGTTTATCTGCTGATTTGCGCAAGTGCTGGCTAAAAATGGTTTTGCGCTAAAGTTAAACATGAAAGGTTATAGTAGGGGCGTGAGTTAAATAGAAAAAAATACCTAAACAGGCCTGTAAAATTCTAGGTCAAAAACGTTAAAACGTATCAATAAACAAATAAAAAACAAAAGAGTTACTCAGCAAATCCTAGTCAATATAAAAACCTAAATGTGCAGTTCAACAAACATTCCAGTATACACTTATTCGTTACCATGGCGAAAAGGTCGTAGCAGTTTAAAACAAGCTCGAGGCTATAATAAATATTACCGAGCGACATCTCACATTTTGGAATTAAGATTTGATTGACAGTTTATTGTAAGCTAATTTTTTACCTTCAAAAATTTTCAAGCCTTGGCTTTTTACTGGTTATTTTGGATCCATATTGGTGTTAATTAGAAGTTGTGGAATTCCTGCTTCTTTTACCTTACATTTTTGATTGTTCATAATTTAATAACTCTGTGATTTATTTTAAGTTCACCTAAATTATAATTAACGTAGACATAATTGCATTCATTGGTTTTTTTTCAAGTAATTTTTTCCCTATATAGTCGTTTGCATCTTTAGTTATTGCGACATTTTGGTAGATGCTTGTAATCCTTGTTAAGACCGTATTTGCTAGTTATAAAATTATATCTACACCCCTTTTCTCGTTTAGCTTACAACCCAACTTCTTAGTTCTCACTTTTGTTAAAAACTGCTCCTACTGCTGCTACTCATAAATTCGCAGGATATCTATTAGAATGGGGACTATTAAATTTAGTGGTGGTTACACTCCACGTTATAGCATCCGGTTTCTTAACAATCTTGTGAGAACATTTAGTGCTTAGTTTAATCTGGTACTTAGCAGAAAAATCAGTAAATGTTCTAAGTGTTGTTAAGCCTAGTCGATTTATGCCCGATTGTGGCACCGCCGATATTATTTGCAGCTTTCGTGTCATCCGACATTTCTAAAAGAAGCAGAACGCTCCCATTTTTCTACTAAAATAAAAAAGTTTCAGAGTTGATTTGAATGGTGCAAGATTAGACGGTTAAATATTCCCATAAACGCGATGATATCAATAATCTTGATCCACTTAATTTACGATGAAATTTAAATGAAGTATTTTTAGACTGTCTAGCTTAACGCATTAAGCTTATGCTTCAGTGATAAAACAACAAAGACTTTGCCATGATCGTTAAACATAGAAGCCGCTATTTCTCCTGAGAAGTACATTTAGTTAGTTGTTTTGGGCCCCAGCATAAGGTCTTGAAAAACGCCGGGGCCAGTAAGTCGAATCTGGCCCGATTAAGCTACCCTGCTAAGCACGATGAAGAAGAAGACTGGAAAGGATGTGGACACTACCACTTCCTTAAGGGCTCTACCGAGTTGGTGGAGTTTGCGGTTGTGTAATTATAGGTCGGGTGTGAAATAGTGTGGGTCATAAATGTGCTGACATGGAGACCTAGGTGAAATTTATTATGTGTAGTGATAATCCAGGAGAGTAAGAAGGGGCATGTTTAGGTACCTCGCGGCCATCGATATGATGTGAAAAGTGGGCATTGTATCGGAGAATGGAGCGATTGGATTACCGAATGGGAATCGATGCGAGTGACAACACGATATTTAACTCTGACTTGTTTATTTAATATGCAAAGGTAGAGAATGTAGGTATCTCCTACGACTATTTTCAGAACACTTCGTAGAAGCAAGTTGCTTGCTGTGACTGATTTGCTCTCAAATTCGATTATTGAAATCACAAATGCCTATTGCAAAACGCCTAACTAAAGTATTTATTTACGAACAGGTTTCACTCAAACTCGTTCAAAACACAGTGTACGCCACAAGAAGGTCCTCTGCACATGTCTGACAGTGAATTGTAATCACATCTTAATGTTGCATTCAAAACACATTAATACAACTATAAGGAAAACTTACAAAACGGTTTCACACTCAAATTTTAAATCCCGTTCATAATTGCTTCGCTTGGAACCTACTTAGGCCTAAATTTTTTAAGAGCACATTTCTCTTAAGACTCAGACTATTTAGAGGAATTCTGCAACAAATTCTTGCGGTCTCTTTTTAATTCAGATTGGTCTTATTCATTTTCTTAAATTAGTCTTTCGGAACCCCTAGACATTAGCCCCATTCTTCTTATTCCCATGATTGATTTTGGCCAACCAGATTTTCACAAATGGCGACACGCATGAATTACGACCCGCAGTCAAGTTATGAAAGCGTGACTTTGTTCAAAAGAAAGTTTATTTGAATAAATCTAGCAGGACGCACGTTATATGGCCCCGGCGTCAACGGGAGGCACCAAGCACAGGTTATAGGGAACATCGGCCCGCCAGAACCCCTCGTCCTTCCATCCCACCCAGCCCTTTCCGAGGATGGTTGCAACATTGCCGGGTTGTCCGGTGTAGTGGGGATCGAGGATGAGGTAGCGAGCACGGGGTCCACTGGTGTTGACGCCGACAATGGTGTGGGCAAGCTGGCCACCGCCTACCATAACCGGGCCCCCTCCGGAGGCGAAGTGACCCGCCAACACGGCTGCAGCCGTAGCTGTGAATTCGGCGCCTCGTGATACTGGAAGAAGACGGCACTGCACTCCATACAACTCTTGCAGGCAAAAACTCACCTGTAGACGAAAAAAAACATCAGGTCAAGTCACATCGTAAACGTTACATTAGAGACTTCATACAATGACATTCAGTGGCGATGGTTAATTTTATAGTGAGTCGTTTTAGTCTGCGTCCCAAATCTCGATCCCCTTCCAACGAACCGTCAGTCTCGTCCCTGAGGACACATCTGACCTCGCATCCATGTGAATATAGTCCCCCTCACCCACACACACGACATTGCATACCTACAAACCACAACTGTGTAGGGTCGTCTAATAAACGACTGCGTGCCTTTCGTGTCGAATTGCGTCTCAGATCCAAACCGGGGCTTCTACGACACGAAACTCCAAAGTGGTCCCGTAGCTTACCTGAAACACGCAAATGTCGCCTCTTTAAATAAAGATCTCGAACGCTGATGAGGTCATGCGCACAAGAATATCCTTGCCACTCCGGACCCGGTTACCGAAAGCAAATTTTTTTTCGTTTAACTCACCTCGAGCGAGCCGATCCACTGCCGAGAACCGATGAATTTTGCAGTTTTGTCGCCGACGCGAACAAGCGCCTCCTGAATGCACTTGATGGTGGGCAATTCGCGCAGCGGGGCGACCACTCCCTGCCACAGTAACCACGAGGCAAGTGTCTGCAGTGAGCGGTAAGCACAGCCCCAGTTCTTGTCGTCGATTCCATCCTGAAAAGCAAAAGGAACCGGGTGACTTTCGCCCTGAATGTCAAGGCTAGCAACCAATGATGAGCAGACACGAACTACCACATCAAAGACGGACTATGCCACAGAAAAGTCGGGAGTTTGGCCACTGAGCAGGTTTGTCGGCAAGGAGAACTTGCATTCGACACAAGAAAGAGTTCCACCGAGTCATTTCGCTACCCCCACCTTCTCCCTTACCTGCAAGTAGTGCTTGTACGTGTACCTTCCACGAATAATCTCACAGTTGCCGTCGGCTGACGCGGCATTCGGACCAGAAGACGGAATCAGGAGGTGGGGACAGACGAGATTTTCTTCGTTTGGACCCAGGAGACGTTTGAAGCTTCGGGTGGGAAAAATGGCCAGACCACGGCGTATGATTGGTTTTCGGGGCAAATCGAGACCTAGCGTAGGCATTCAGAAAATACCATTTTGGAGCCTGTGGCTTTATAGACACAGCTCATCCATGGTCTCAAACGACATTTGAATCATGATCCAGATATCACTTAGAAAATATGCAACCGAAATGTCTAGTTAATTGAGCCTCTAACTTCGAAAACAAAACTTCTAACAGATAAGAACGAGAATGAGATGAAGGCATCCAGTTACCATAAGTTTAACGATTTTCTCTTTAAGATTCTAAAAGCACTGTAGCCGACATCATGATTCAAAATATTTGGCAAAATCTGCATGAACTTGACTCCAAACGTCTGCAAGGTAATAGTTATCTAACCAATGATGGATTAATTACTATTAATAAATCAATTTATGAATAAGAACTGTGTTAGGAAGCATTGGCGTACGTGGAAAGATTGTCAAACTATTCCTTGCTTCAAAAACTGACGTTATAAGATAAAAAAACTCGCCACAATTGAGTAGCGCATCCTGCAAATTGGTGGTCATCAAAACCATTATATACAACTCATTAAACAATGCTACTTGTTCTCAAAAAGGCGACATGAAAACGGCGGTAAAACGTGACCCAAAGTTGACAATAATTTTCATTAAAAATTGGAATCGGCACCGGAAAAGTTTCTGACGCCTCAAAGTAAGTGCAAGGACACAGAGGCCATGACTACTTTATGAAATGACCAATCAACACCTCAACAGAAGAGTTTATTATTAAGCCAAATTTAAATCCAAGAACACGAGGTCAGATTTTGGATAAAAACATGCAGATTGAATAATCAAACGAACAAGAAGTCAACTTGCGCAAAATTAAAGAGGAGCCACATTTTAGAGTGCTGGTATTAAGACTGGCAATATCTCCGAGTGCACAATTGAGTACCGTAGCTAAAAACCCACAGCTGAATGCCCAATAGGCGTGAAAAAGTATGTATGCGGGGTTAGACAATGTTAAGAGAAAGCCTACCCTTGTGAATTGCCTCACGCCACTGAAGTTCCTTCTCGCAGAATGGTGGGTAGAACACGCGAATCAGTTTATCCTCGTGGTGGAAATAGTAGGCCGTTAGACTGCGTGGAATTGACTTCTCTTTGGCCAAGATCGATTTCAGTGTTTCATTGTATGAAGTCAGAAACTCCGAAACGTTACTTCGAAGAGTATCAAAAAGATCCCCTTCTACAATTTCAGGGTCGACAGCAAAAAAAGCATCGACATTCAACTGATGCATGGCACATGGAACTTTCTGTGGTGGCTTAAATTCGACACGAGGACCGGTGTCTTCGGAATCACAGTCAAAGTTGAAATTAGCTACAAACGTGATTGGATTGTGAAGGCTGTCATTAGCCTGCTTGAGCATCTGCCTACTGTATTGGGGAGATAGTTTTGGCTTCTCTTTAGAGATATAGCAATCATTGTGAATAAAAATGAGAGAATTAATAGTTTCTCGTAGACCAGCAAACAATTTTTCCAAGTGGTGTTCATTCCAGTAAAATAAGCGTTCGCCATATCGAATGATCACCCGAAGAAAGACGACATCGTTTGATAGTAAAACCGAGGACTGAACAAGATCCATTCATCGATCTAATAAGCGGATAATTCGCAGTAAATAAGACAGAAAAAAAAGGAACTTAAATAAAAAGGTAATGAGATTCAAGAAAATTACTTAACTTTGTCAACCTTCACTTTATTAAGCATACATTATTTAGACACGTAAATTAAAATGTTAGGAAACGAACGTAGTTATTTGTGAGATTGCCGTGATACTAAACCTTTACACAAACAGGAAATATGGAACCATTGGCACAAGTAGCGACCCTAAACGACTGTATTCCAAAACGAGCAGGAACATTAACTGACAACAGTACAGCAAACAAGATGCAAATATTCTCTATCAGTTTAAAGTCCAACCTACGCTTTATTTCGCTGAAGCTCAACAATTTTAACGTACACAAATATTTAACAGATTTAAGAAATTCTTAAAAAACCGCGACCTAAAATGCACACAACCTTAGCCGCATTGGCTAATGGTGATTGGCTAATCCACATCACTAACCTCCAAAAAACTCTGCCGCGTGGCATTAATTTACTGAAATAGAAATGTACTTTTTGAGTTCCAAAATGCCATAAACCTATGACTTTTGCATGTCATGTAAAAATATGCTTTTAAAACTATTGAATTGGGAATGGAAAATGAATTAAGATAATTTCAAAGGAGAGAAAATATTTGTAGAGAAAATTAATATTCTTAAACATTTAACCTCACATTCTTTTAGATTTATCCCAGAATCTGTTCTTACTTTAATAGCGACCTGAAAAAGTCATCATTCCTTACATTTTACGGCATTGGACAAACACGATTTAAATTCACTTACGTAGAAACACACATTGGAAAATTTAGGAAAAGTCCAATATCATAGCCGTTCTATGGGATTGTCTATTTGTGTCATAATTTGGTTTTGGTCAATTTTCCGGTTAGTGAATAAAATGCGATACTTGAAATGAAGTGATAAGATCAGAAGGAACGTACTTTAGACATTAGTTTTCCTAACAGAATTCGACCAAATATGCATTAAAATTATGTCCCTTTTACTGGCATATGAAATTGGCATGCACATTACAAGAAATTAGTGCTGACTAGACCATATATGCATGGATATTTTTTTCGCTTTCATATTTATATGGACTATCTTATTGCAACTTAAAATTCTTTAAATATTGATAATGTGGACTATTGGGACAATTACTTACTTTGTGTTGGATAGTTGTTCAAAATCATCAGTTGTAGACAGATATATTTTCACTTTACAGTGCATAAACCTTTCAATGCTCCATCCCATACCCATTTTCAGTGGTTAAAAACCTAAATTTTATCCTACTATTAAGTTTGTTTTTACAAATGTGCGTGATTTTCTGTCAAGAGTTCTTATTTCTTATTTGCCAATCGCAGTCCCATCCTTTAACCATAACGATATTGCATAAAGCCTCCACGATTGTATTTGCTACCGTGTTTCCATCAATTTTAAGGCAGAAGACGCATTTCCTCTTGACTCTGACATGTAATTTAGTTAATAGTTGATTTCAAGTGCACAAATTTCCGCTTAAAGACAGATATCAATGTGTTGGTCCTTAAAGCACTGCTAGTCATAGATCACTTGATTTTTTGCTTATTGAGATATCTCTGGCTGGTTTAGTGTGCCGTATGTCCTCTTACAGATCAAATTAAAGAAACGTAGTCGCTTAAAAAACCGAGTTACCTATTTTGCGTTTGCAGTCTGATATTTTTCGTTGTACTATTTTGACAAGCCATACTCTTCTTTCATCTACACCGTTCTTTAGTCTCCTTTAATTGATTTCGTTTTCAAATTGGTGCACAGTTGATACCGCCGGGGCATTTAAAGCAACCTAAAATGAATTATTGCAGGTATAGGAGTAGTGGCGAATTCACGTTAGCCTTAAATGTAACTGGAAATGATTTGTCTGTACAAATAAACGTTTAGCTTTATAAACTGATTTCTTACGCCTTTTATTACATTATTTGATCACAAACTTTTCCGAATTCCATGCTACATGAAATTAAAGTATAACTACTGAAAAGGAAGTGTTTCGCTTAGATATTGTCTATAAAGTTATTAATTTCCAAGTAGTTTTTAGACTGTCCAATATGAGATCTTCAATGTAAACAGTTGTCGAGGAAAGAAAGTAAACAGATCCTATGTTTGCTTAATGCATATGATCGTTGATGTTTACCGAAACTGTCGAATTGCCTGCATAACTTTCTGTTTACTTTATCTTGTTAGCAGTAAACAAACTCTCCCCCAGTCAGACTTCCCGACCATAAAATTATTTAAATAGTAAGTAATTTTAATTTATCCAAACTTACCGTAACTATGAATCATTTCGAATAATATATTGTTAGTTTGTTGTAGTTTTACCTTTGGATGTACACACATTAACGATTAAGGCATAAATTAATATTTGTGCCTATAACTAAGGGTAAGTATGAACGCCCCCATGACATTTCAAGAAAACTCAGTTTCCTAACCAAATTGATGTTAAATATCACACAATAAACCAAACGATAACTTTAACGATTTCCTAAAACCGCCTTAATTTATTGATTAATGATCCAATTAAAACAAACGCTGTCATTTTTAGTTAATGTCACAGAAATGCTTTGCTAAATTTAAAAATGATTGTAACGGAATGCGACCTCATTGAATTGTTCAAACGTGATTCAAGGAAATAAAAAAAAAACAACAATCAATCGAAAAGCTAAATAGCGTAATACACGAAGGTCCGGAGACTACGTCATTGGAAGAAGTGAGTGTAAATGTGTAAAACTACGATTTTTCAGGGCTGAAGATATCAAAGTACACCACTTATTGGCAACGGTGTGCCTCTTAAGAAAACCATCGATGTCTCGTGCTAAACGGGGCTGCGAAAATCACGTAACATGATGTCCTGATGTCAATTACCATCCAACTCCTTCCGCATTGGTAGTTTCGTGCAAATGTTTGGTTCAAATGTGAAAAAAACCATTCAATCAGAATACCTAGTGTCATTTCGAGAACCCCCTTACTACCTGGGAACTAAAACTGATTTAAAACTACTTGAGAAACTACCCAATTAGAACTGATTGTTTTGCAGGTTTTTTCAGATCCCACCGCACTGATTTTGGATCGTGTGGGTTTTTCCACATTGACACACCCGAAAAATTTGTGTTTCTTGCTTTAAGTACGAATTACAGCATTTTGCAAGGTCGTTCACCAACCTCAATTTAATGTCATCAACATCAGTACTAGGAAAGAGAAAATCATATGAAATAACGATAGCGATAAATTGTGTACAAAATAGACTCTGTGACAGCAAAGTTTAACCCATAAACGTGTGCAACAAAGGTGTGGACAAAAAGTACATGTCCTTTTAGATTTTCGTGACCGCCGATTGTCCAGTGGGCAAGTAGTAAGAATTAGAATTAAACCAGCGAATAAATCGAGATCAAGATGTTCATGCAGGAACTTGAAGCATTTGTGTGGCATCGGTAAGGATTCCGGATTCAAAGTATTACGTTCACCAAGTCCGCACAAGTAATAAGTCCTTCATACTAATCCTTAGTTTAGCGGATTTCCTCACCCATTCCACAGTTATTCTTCTCTGCCCCCATTGTTTTACTGCTTCAATTCAGTTGCGGAGCGCCATCTCAAATTTTTAACGGTGACGTCATTATGTTCCTCTTGTAACTGCATTCGCTCTGTATGCTTAGAACTAGTTGATGCTCACTGAGTTTATGTGCTTATATGAGAAAGGAAATAAACACTATATTGAGAACCTATTTATCATTTTCACCCCAAACTCAACCCAGCCGTGCAACCACCCTTTTCGGCAATGTAGAAATGTTGAAGCCAAAGAAGCGATTGTGTTGTAATGACAGCTTCTCGGTCAAGTACCTACGTGGAATGTCTATGCGGCTTTAAAAATTTGCTAGAGAATACATAATTAATTGGTCGACGTCTCAACTTACGTAGACTACTAATTGCACAACATCAAACACTTGAATCGCTTGATTGCAATTGCGCAATTTGGTGTCTGATTCAAGCTTTATCGAAGAAATCAACTTGAAATCGGTAAGTACAAAGAGGAACTGTTCACCCTTGGTGTTGCCTTTTAGGTACCATCGTGCTCGACTCAAGCAGGTAAATCCACGAAGCACCATTGCAATACCATCGAGGATATTACTATGAGCTAATTTGATTCCGCTCCTCGTCGAGTGGGCACTGAGTGGACAATAATTCAAGCTGACCAATCACACGGAAGCGCCACATCACTAAAACAAAGGAGTGGTTAACAACCAATCATGTCCAGGTCTACCAACGGGCTTCAATTACATGACCTGGGGCAGTGGCATTGTAAGTGTTGCAAATACAACACTTGAAATCATTTTACATCCACGGCGCCATCTTGAGCAGTAAAATTCGTCTAATGCCGAGTGTGTGAAGGATCAATTTTGTTGGCCAGGAGGCTAACAACCACACACGAGATTTTTCAAGAAATCTGTTTTCTTATTTTGCCGCTCATGTTGGTATGGGGTAAGTAAAGTGTTCCCGGCATCCGCTTGTACGCCGACACGGCAATTCAACCAGAATCTCCCGAACAGAAGCAATATTTAATACAACAATATCTGACTGCCTGATTAAAGACCGCGGCAATGTTGTTGAGTGCAAGGTCACCCTGAAACCGCAAGATTTTTTGAGTTCTTGCGCACGTGGTAGAGCGCTGCTCTTTGATCCAAAGCTGTCTTGAGTGCAACGCCTGTTTGTGCTCAACCAACGACCTTCAGCCTATCTAGGCCACTGCCCGCTCAAGTTGCGACGTTTCACCTTCATTGAATCACTTTTTTAATGCTTCAGGTCACCGAAATCTTGCAAGCCTTATGAGATTTCCCCGCAGTGCGCCGCGCTTGCCTGGCCTCTGATTGGTTGATACATCACGGTTGGGAAAACGAACGCCTCATGTACTGGTTTGCACTCCACGACCACAACTATGAGTCATAATGTCCGCCCACTTTCAATCCTTGGCTGACTCATCACACGACAGCAGTTTATCAGAGGGCTTGCGCAAGGCGCACTCCTGCTGTACATCTGTAGAGGCAAATCTTCGTGCGTAAGAAACAGCCACATAGTGTAGGCGTTTTAGGGGGGGTACACTACCTTGACACACCCTATTTAGTCACAGTGTTAACCCTCTACACACCAAGGCTATTGTAGCGTTTCCTGAACCTCACGGTCAAGTAGCTCTTTACATCTGAATTCGCTCCAATGCCCAAAGAAGTCGTGTGAGTCAGGGAAATTGCCGTCCATCAGCAAATTCTGTGGTGTTGTTGTGGTCACGGTGTCAGCTGAGTGGCACAAAGGTAAAAACTTTTGCCGCCACTCTCGCTGCCAAGTTATGAGGCAGGATTTTGAAGGCTTTCAATAAGCATTTGATAGGTGTGATTATGGGTGTGGCATTGAAATTTTGCAATTCTTGCATAGTGACAGTATTATAACGCCAAAATGCCCCTATTACCTTGCGTTTGTTCTACTTTTTGATTCCTTGTCCATTTCCGCTACTACTGGTCCCAATTAAGTGTTAAAATCCACAAACTTCAACAGGTTCACACCGGTACGCGTTGATTTTACAACAAAATGAAGAATTAATTGTAGTCCTATCGAGCTTATGCTAAGGACACGAATCTCCATTGCTTGAGAAACTAATCAATGCAAGTGTTTTTGATTAAATAATTTTTTAACTCAGAAAACTATTTCTGTACCTTTCAACACTGAACTGATAATTTCTTTTGGTATTTAAATCCTTCTCCATTACCTTATAGTATCGATGTCTGTGATCCATGTAATTTCGCGGCAAGTTTAAAAAAGAGCGAGCACACGTCGCGAATTGTGATCAATAATTTAATTGGTGGACGATGTTTAACCAATCGACACATTTGCGAGCTGACAAAATGGGTATAAAATGAATCGGGCGTTCCGGTCAGTTTACTAAGTACGATACACTTCCTTTTTAGGGCAGTTATGTATGGGTCGCGACACAGCAAATAAATATTTAAATTTCGAAATCGTACGAGTTAGTTGTCGCTAAGCAACGTGACGTTGCAAGCTCAAGTTATGAAGTCATCTCTCCAGTGTACGCGAATGAAGGGAGTGGCAAAGTGTGCAAAAATATGCGTGTCCCTCTAGTTCTTAAGAATATTAAATGTTGAGTGGTGAATTAGAAAATAATTGTCAGAACAGGGGTAAACTTATTTGTTGCCGGTTTTTATAGGCTTAATGCTGTCGTGTCAACGTCTTATGGGAGTGATCAATGAATTTTTGGTTTTAATTTCAACAAATATTTCGTCGAAATTTTAAGGACCTCCATCAGTTTTTTATCCAAAGATTCAAGCTATTCAACTTTCTAAATTATCTCAGCATCCCACACGCATTTTCTAACTCACTAAGTTTCCCTACGCGGTACTTCATCGTGTTCGACCACCTAAATCGAACAAGGTTTTATCGATCGCAAACACCATGACGTCATTTTGAGTGATCGATCGACGTTTTGCCAAAATGAGGTTCGCCAAGCTTCACTCGCTTAAGTGAACTTAAATTTATGCCTTACAGAAGATTTCCAAGACAACGCAAACGTCGGATTGAAGTTCATGTTTTGGCGTTTAAAAAAGAGGTCAGACCGGAATGGAAAATTTCCATTGACCTTTGCCATCAATGTGGAAAATATCAGCAAAAGTATTGGCTAGTAGTAGGCCCGTAAGGGTTTACTTGTCTGGCGGAGCTGCTGCCAGCCCTCTAGTTTGCTGTGTGAGGTTATCCAGGCTCTCAAAACCTCTGCACTCATTGACCCGAGTTTGGTTACAATATAAGTGTCGTTCACTTAGCAGATAATGAGTTATGAATGCTTATCAAATATAAATAAGACGTTAAGTGGCCTTTCACAATCTTTTTCTGAGTTACCTTGATTAAGGATACGACATCCACATGTGTGGGTGGAAAGTGGATCCGTTTAGTCCCTCAAAATATGCACGGCGACTTTTTTACGATTTTCTGCCACAAAAATGCGTGGATATTTTGATAAATATGGGTTTCGATGATGTTCTCACATTGAGACATTTTACGAGACGCAGTTGGTTAGTGTTGCGACTGCATTGCCAGATAACCGTCTCAATCACCTTCGCGACAACGTGTACGAACTCTTCCACACGTCTCCCCGTGCGCTGACTTCAGCTTTTATTCAAACAATGGCTTGATCAGAATCCATACTTACACCCATGTAGACCCAACTCATCCTACTCATTGACGACATCTCAACACACTTGAATCTGACATGCAATTAGTGCTATCCAATCACATGTCTCGCCGTGAATTAAGTTTCGTCTTGATTTAAACAATAACTTGAACAGAAATCACACTTGGACCCATGTAGACACAACTCTTCCAAATTTCTCGACACATGATTGGTTTCGAGGATCGAAGAGTATAACGTCTGTGTTCTACTTGAGGGCTGCGACAGAAGCAAACGATATCTGCAGCTATGGAAAGGTGCGTGAGTAAGACATTGAAAGTACGGGCTTTTGAGGACAGACCAGAGGCGTGGAAAATTGTCAACTTAGCAGCTGGTCATCCAACAACAAGACACAATCATGTCACAGCTACCTAGGGGGATCAATAGGAGGTTTGACGACCGTAAAATGCCACCTAGACGGGAGCGAGAATGACCCCACGACACTCGCAACCACCGTCTTCGATGTCATTCAGTTTTTTTGGCAACATCTACACCAAGACGTCAGAGACACAAAGCAGTTCCTTATAAATAGAGGCGTTTATATTCAGAAATCAGAACATCGCGTTAATTTTACATTGATGGATTGGGGGTTTGGTGGAGGGAGGAACAAGGACTTCTTCCGGGTCAGGAAATGATTACAGCCAGGCAGCGGGCGAATCAGCAGCGATAACCCCAGTGGGCCTTTGCTTGTCTCCTTCACCTTCTTCCTCTTCCTCGTCTTCTTGAGTGAGATCGCGGCGGCAGGGATCGCAGAGTGAGGCACATATGGTGTTCGTGAAGCCCACACAGTGCGCTTTGCTGTCACGGGTGAACAGAGCTATGATGAAGGCTGCAAGACACGAAAGGTACGCGATCAACCATGAAACAGCACTTCTCTCTGTGTGTGTGTGCTGTGGTTCGTCAAATCTAGCACACATTTGGAAACACGTCAATTCACCGCAATTAACCCCTGCAAAACGTGTCCCGAGTATCGGTTTCAGACATTTGAGTACAACAAGATTTGAGTTACGGAAATCGCAATTTCACGTTCAAATGTAACTATTAAGCCACGGATACATTTGATGCAATTAGGTAGAGTGAATTCCTAAATTCTAATTTCGCCAAAATTCCATTCAGCCTAAATTGGTAGTCGATTAGGAGCATCTAGATTTCTGGCACATCAGAACCTGGTTCCAGTAATGAAGGGTGGCCAATTAGTCATAATTTCTAAATCCTTTCAAGGAGATGTTCTGAAGGAATAACGGCATTAGGTTTTAGTGAGATTTGAGGACACACAATAGGAGTTGTTAGCACCGCATCGGCATTTTGTTGGCACACAGAGGGAAAAAACTTACAGACGAGACAGGAGCAGCCACAGGCGGTGTAGACAGCAACCCATTTGCCTTGAATGTCAAATTGCGAGACGATAGCGGCGGTTATCAGGGCGCTTGGACACTACAAGTGGAAAGAATTGGCAAGTGAGCGTGGAACGTGGACAGTCGGGGTGGTCCACCTAGGCTGCCAAACTCACCGTGGCCATGTAGATGAAGCCGTAGATGGTGGCCATGTTGGCGGGGCCGAAGGCGCGTGTGCACGTCGCCGGGATGACAACGAAATGCGCCGACAGTGAGAAGAACAGGCCGAACACCCAGATGGCGTAGAGGTACTTCCCCGCCTCGTTGGCTGCCACGTAGGGGAAGGTGATGAATAGAGCAGCCCACAGCAGCAGGAAGGTCATCAGAGGGCACTGGGAGGGACGAAAAGAAGGTTGCGTGAGAAATCACTCTTTCAGGAATTGCCACATCACACGTTTACTCGATTATTCCTGCTTTGCCTCATGGTAAGTTGTCATAATGCTTAATACATCGTGACATTTTATTGGATACTAAAACGCCATTACCGGGCATACGTTTTAATGGTTCTGTGTGCATCATAGGCAGTTAAACAAAGTCAAACTCCCGCACCTTCGACGACAGATGGTCCACCACGAAGCCCCAGAACACGCGTCCAACGCAGTTAAAGGCCGAGCTTGTGGTCGCGATTGCGGAGAGAAACTGATCGTCGAACTTGCTTTGTCCTCCGTATACCTACAAAGCAAAACCTACGCCTTTTACGCACGCATCGCTTCACCTCATAGCAACGCCAATAGAGAAGTGGTGGCTGGCATGTCGTTGGGTGTATTCGCTTGGCCGCCGGGACTTTGACTTGCTTACTAATCGGTGATTGCAGTTTCATAACTCATACGATGTGCTGATTGGTTGGCTCACTTGGAGGACGTGGTAGTGGAAATGAGTACACTAGGGAGCATGTGACCACTTGTCGTTACTTCAGATGAAACAGTTTCTGGCTTCATCTACACCCAGAATCAAGTGCATTCCAGAAGGAGACGTACGGTGAACTCAGAATTGAGTGGTTTATGAGACTGGTCATCAATTTAGCGTGCTTTCTTGGCCTTGGTTTCTGCAAAAACGAGATAAATAACAAAGAAGCGATAGACGTACCTTGTAGGTCGATGTTAGAAGCACAACGGGGATGATG